CAAGAGACTCAGGCTGGCCCAGTTTGAATCCCCCCATCCCCGCCCCGTGGGGGCCAGGGCAGAGCGGAGGTGGGAGGGATTCCGGGCAGACAGCCAAGGCCTCCTCCATCCCGCTGTGGGCTGCCCAGCCGCAGACGACCCTTCTTCCCCACAAACCTGCTCAGACAGCTGGGCCGCACAGGAACTGTCACTCCTCACTTCCTCAGATTATGGCTGCCTTGTTGTGAGGGCGGCAGTGAGGCTCAGCCTGCAGGTTCTTCTCACCACCCTCTCTAGACCACGTCCGGACCGCAGGGAGGGAGGAGGGAGAGGCCTGGGAGAGACCATGTCCCTCGTTCTACCTCCCCTTCCGGTCCCTGAAACTGTGGCTCTGTTCTCTCAGTGTGGTCCCTCCTTCAGCTGTGAACAGCCTCAGGGACCCGCTTTCCACGTTCAGAGGCCCATTCCCTGTCAGTGTCCCCTCACACCCGCTGTCTGCCCTCGTGAGACCAACAGTGGCCCAGGCTCCCTGGTCCCTGCCAGAGCTGTCCAGGATGCCTTTAGTTTGGTCACGACCACATCCCAGTATTCTGTAGCTTAGAGGCTAAATTGTAAAGTTAGCCGCCACCGAGAAGGAAGAGTTGTAAGATACATCAATGCCGAGTGTCCCAAAAAATGTGCACACACGTTAACAGCTGATAACTCACTCCATTTTCCCTCTTTCCCAGGCTGAACCGAGTTGAAATAATGGGTGAAGCCAGACTAAGCTTTGAACAAAGAACATTTATCCGCTGCCTCTGTTAGGGGGCCACAGAAGAGTCAAAGCTCACGCTACAAACTGACAACACCCGAGGCTCACAAATACCCAACGAAGTGATTCCTATGTTTGCGGTTCCATTGCTTCGTGTTATCAGCAGCACCAGGAATGGGTCGTCATCCGTTTGAAAAACAGTTGACAAGAAAAATTATTCATTTCTGTAGATTCTTTTACGTTTTAAACGTGATCTGTACGTCAGTAAACACTGACTTTATACTCATTCATAGAGTGTAAACATTTTGGGGGACACCCTATAGGCGCAGGAGACAGCGAGAAGAAAACAGGTGGACGCTCCAGTCCTTTCTGCAGATGCTACTGCCTGCCGGTAGCTCTTAGACTTCCGTCCGCCACCCCAGGTGCCTGCTCTCAGCCTGCATCTCTGCCGACCAGGGGTCCCTCTGACCCAGACCTTCTGTTCCTGAGACTCTGGGCTCTGGATGGGCTGCCTGTGTTGGGGGACGAAGTCTTGGTTGATGTTTCTGCCATTAATTTTTACCCTGGACTTGGCAGCAACAGGGCATGCTGAGTTCCACACACACTCCTCTTCCTTCCCCTCTGGGCACCCTCCTATGTTAGCTGCTCCTCCCTCCTTTAAAAAATAAAGTATAATCGACGCCGTAAAAGTCACCCTTTGTGGTTACAGTTCTATGAGTTTTACCAAATGCAGATGCCATGTAACTACCACATCCAAAGGACAGAGCACTTCCAGAGCCAAAACATTCCCTGGCACTGCCCCTCTGCAGCCAACCCCACCACCAGGTCCTGGCGCCTACCAGCTGCTTTATTTCCCTCCAGGCCCGCCCTTCCCATAATGCCATATGACGAACTCAGGCATACTGTTGGGGGTCTGGCTCCTTTTTTTTTTTTTTTTTTAATGTTTTTATTGATTTCAGAAAGGAAGGGGCAGAGAGGGAGAGATAGAGAGATAGAAACATCAATGATGAGAGAATCATTGATCGGCTGCCTCTCGCACACCCCCTAATGGAGATCAAGCCAGCAATTGGGCATGTGCCCTTGACTGGAATTGAACCTGGGACCCTTCAGTCCTCAGGCCAATGCTCTATCCACTGAGCCAAACCAGCCAGGGCGGGGCCTGGCTCTGTTCACTTAGCACAGGTGTCTGAGACGTGTGCCCGCCGTCCCAGGGTCCGTAGATGCTTAGTTAATGTTTCCGGACCCGCGTCACAGAGGAACCGTAGCACGCCTACCCACTCCCTGCTGAAGGACCTTTGGGCTGTTTCTGGAAAGTTTGGACAGTTATGAACCAACATGCTGCACATCCATGCGCAGGTCCTGGTGTGAACACACGTTCCCACGTCTCTGGGACGAATACCCACAATGAAGTGGGCCAGTCTCAGGCCAGACGTTTGCTTCAGTTCTAGGAGACGTCAAGCCACCTCCCAAGTGGCTGGCCAGCGCGGGTCCCGCCAGCAGGACTCAGCATCGTCAGGGGGTCTGTTTAATTCCGCCTTCCTACTGGGTGGGCAGCGCCACGTCACCGTGGTTCAATGTGCATTCCCTGCCAACCAATGATGGCCAGCATTTCCTCATGTGCCGACTGCCATCCATGTATCTTCCCTGGGAGGTGTTGGTGAGACTCTTTTGCCAGCCAGTCTTTAATTGGCTTATTTATTTTCTCATTGCTGAGCCTTGAGAGTTATAGATGTCGCATCAAAGTCTGTTGAGATTGTTGGGAGCCATAGCGACAGGGGGCAGATGTGTTCACTGTCTCCATCTGCCCCCGATGGACGCCTTGTTATGCGTCTGAGCCAGTGTGTGTGGGGGTGAGCTTTACCAGAAACTGCCAAATACCCCCAACAGGGGAAATAATTAAACCATTATCACACAAGCATTAAAATAATGTCTTTAAAAAATAGTAATATGAGGAAATATTAATGGTGTAATGCAGAGTGAAAAAAATTGGATAGTAATTTGTACATACATTATCATCTGACTGTGTAATGCAGTATGTGCAGAAGGAAGGAAATACACCAAAATGTTGAGAGAGGTAATGATAATAATATACAAATAATAATTAAAACATTTTTGAGCACTTTGCATGTTAGGCCCTGGGCTAAGCAGTTTACACATATTATTTTACCTGATATTTATAAGATAGAAACTATTATCGTCCCCATTTTATATATATGACGAAACTGAGGCTCACGGATGGTCCCTTAGCTAAGTGCTGATTCAAATCCAGACTGCCTAAAAGCCAAAGTCCAATTTAAAAAACTCCTCATGTGAGAATATGTTTTCAATGATTTTTTAAAATATTATTTTTTATTGATTTGAGGGAGAGAGAAGGAACTCACAATCCAGGTGTGTATGTGGCCTAATGGGGAATTGAACCTACACTCTTTGGGGTACAGGACAAAGCTCCAATCACTGATCCACCAGCAAGGGCCAAAGCTCGTCTTTTTTTTGTGTGTGTAAATACATTTTTATTGATTTCAGAGAAGAAGGGAGAGAGAGAAACATCAATGATGAGAGAATCATTGATCAGCTGTCTATTGCACACCCCCTACTGGGGACTGAGCCCTCAACCTGGGCATGTGACCTTGACTGGAATCGAACTCGGTACCCTTCAGTCCTCAGGCCAATGCTCTATCCACTGAGCCAAACTGGCTAGAGCCATCCATCTTTTTTTAATGTTTATTATTTTTTATTTTATTTGTTTATTTTTAAAATATATTTTATTGGTTATTTTTTACAGAGAGGAAGAGAGAGGGGGATAAAGAGTAGGAAACATCGATGAGAGAGAAACATCGATCAGCTGCCTCTTCCACACCCCCTTCTGGGGATATGCCTGCAACCCAGGTACATGCCCTTGACTGGAATCGACCCTGGGACCCTTCAGTCCGCAGGCCAACGCTCTATCCACTGAGCCAAACCGGTTTCAGCTATTTTTTATTTATTATCTTTAAAATATGTTTTTGTTGATTTCAGCGAGGGGAAGGAAGAGGGAGAGAGAGAGAAACATCAATGAGAGCCCAGCCGGTGTGCTCAGCAGTTGAGCACCCATCCATGAACCACGAGGTCCCTGGTTTGATCCCCGATGTGGACTTGTGCAGGAGGCAGCGGATAGATGATGTTTCTCTCTCATCGATGTTTCTTATACATTTCATATAATGTATTTTTAAATAATTATAAAACATTATTTATAACTAATACATTTAAATACCATGCATATATCTCACTGTTTTTGAGGGCAGGGGCCCTGCCCTTTGCATTTCTGTGGCTCTTGCTCTGGGAAGATACCCTCCAACACAGGGCTTCGTGACTGCCGGGTGAAGGATGGGAACCAGGAGCCAGTGCCGGGAAGATGACATCAGAGCAGGCTCTGCTGGCCTGCGGGGTGGAGGGCCTGGAGGGCCACCGGGGACCAGGGAGGGGGGTGGGGGCCGCGCTCAGGAAGCCGGTTTGCGGCAGGAACTGAGCGGGAGGAGTGACGGCCCCACCCTCCCAGCTCCGGGCCTCGCTCTGGGCCTCGGTTCTGGTTCCGACCAGGGCGGCGCGGCCCCACCCGCTCCCCGGCCCCGCCCCCGGCCGGGCGCTGTCCGCGGTGCTGAGCGGAGCGTCCGCGCGAGGCGGCCCAGGGCGGAGTCTCCGGAGCCGGAGCAGGGAACCCGGAGGCAGGGCGGCGCCGGGCCCAGACCCCGCGGCGGGACAGGAGGGACAGGAGGCCGGAGGCCCGAGGCTGGAGCGGACACAGGCGCCTGGACCAGCTCCTGCAGGCGCCAAGGTCGCCCTCCCTGTCCCAGCAGCCCTCTCCTCCGCCTCGGAGGAGCCCTCACCTCCAGCCCCGACCTCAGCCTGCCCCCCAAGACCTCAGCCTGCCCCCCAAGACCTCAGCCTGCCCCCCAAGACCTCAGCGTGCCCCCCAAGACCTCAGCCTGGCCTCAAGACCTCAGCCTGCCCCCCAAGACCTCAGCCTGCCCCCCAAGACCTCAGCCTGCCCCCCAAGACCTCAGCCTGCCCCCGAAGGCCTCAGCCTGCCCCCCAAGACCTCAGCCTGCTCCCCAAGACCTCAGCCTGCTCCCCAAGACCTCAGCCTGCCCCCCAAGGCCTCAGCCTGCTCTTCAAGCCCGGCTGAGGAGGGGCCTCCTTCTGCGGACCCCGGCTCGCAGCCCAGGCCCCTGCCCAAGCCCCTGCCCCCGCCCCCGCCCAGGCCCCCGCCCAGGCCCCCGCCCAGGCCCTCGCCATGGTGAAGCTGCTGCCCGCCCAGGAGGCGGCCAAGATCTACCACACCAACTACGTGCGCAACGCCAGGGCCATCGGCGTGATGTGGGGCACGCTGACCATCTGCTTCTCCGTGCTGGTCATGGCGCTCTTCATCCAGCCCTACTGGATCGGGGACAGCGTCAACACGCCGCAGGCCGGCTACTTCGGCCTCTTCTCCTACTGCGTGGGCAACGTGCTGTCCTCCGAGCTCATCTGCAAGGGCGGCCCCCTGGACTTCTCCTCCATCCCCTCCCGGGCCTTCAAGACGGCCATGTTCTTCGTGGCCTTGGCCATGTTCCTCATCATCGGCTCCATCATCTGCTTCAGCCTGTTCTTCGTCTGCAACACGGCCACCGTCTACAAGATCTGCGCATGGATGCAGCTGGCTGCTGGTGGGTGAGCGGGGCTCTGGGCGGGCGGGGCCCAGCCCGGGCCACAGGTGCAGCTGCACCATCCCATCCTCTGGAGGCTCTGCGTCGCCCACTCCGCTCGCCTCCTCCAGCCCCTCCCTGCTCGCTGCTCTGTAGAAGCTGCTGAGAAGTAGAGGCTTGGCTGAAATGGAAAGGACCTGGAGACCAAACCGTTCAATGGCCTTATCTTAGAGACGAGGAAGTGAGGCCCAGAGAAGACGAGTGACTCGCCCAGGAGCACAGGGCTAGCAGATAGAAGTCCGGTGTCCTGACTCCCAGGCCATTACCCCAGAGACTGCTCTGGGAGGGAGGGAAAAGAAAGCTTCCGTTGTCAGCTGTGTGGCAATGCACCCCAGCTGCGAGGCAGAGTAGCGGTGGCAGTCAGGCCCATTCTAAATGCCCACGTCACCCACTTCTGTGCATTTGTTCCTTCTCCTCCAAGGATCCCCAGATCCCTGCCCTCACGCCTTCCCTCCGGCCCAGACTGCTCTCAGGGGAGACCCTCTGGCCAGCCCTGGATCTAAAAGGTTATGCGCATGTGGCCCTTCCCATAGAAGCTTGCATTTAACTTCTCTCTCGTTGTGGAGTGGGAGTCTCTGTTCCCTAACACAGGGTTCAGTGCTTGAGGAAGTCAGTGGAGGTGACGTTGTGTGACGTGGTGGGGTGCTGTCCAGAGTCTCTAAGACGATGCAGGGCAGGTGGTTACTGCTGGTGCTCAGAGGCAAGACTTCCAAGCTCCCTTCCCCTGCTCCTAGCTCTGGCAGGACTCAGAGGGCCAGCTGGCTCTACTCCCATCCAGAGCTTAAGAAAAGATGGCTTAAGACAGTGGTTGGCAAACTCATTAGTCAACAGAGCCAAATATTGACAGTACAACAATCTAAATGCCCAGGCCGTGGTATTTTGTGGAAGAGCCACACTCAAGGGGCCAAAGAGCCATATGTGGCTTGTGAGCTGCAGTTTGCCGTCCCTTCCCACCCCAAGGACTTCACTCAGCCTGTCCATACTGGGGAGATGTCCCGGTCAGCTGGGGACTGTAGACAAGAATGAAACGGCTTTGACATGGTTGGCTAGAATGAGAAGCAGGATTATCCTTAACAGAGGGAATGAAACCGGGGTCAGAATCCCAGACAACCAAACACACAGACTCAAGACTGTCAGGGTTGGAGTGGACCCCAGAGAGCTGCAGCCCTCTGCCCCCCAATAATAGACAAGAAGTTGGGGCTGAGATGATAAGAGTTGGCCAAACTGTAGCAGGCTAGCTGGCAGCCAAGAGCTTAGGAGAACAAAGGCAGAGCTGCACATTTCCGCAGTGCGGTGATGTGTGCAGAGTCCCCTCTCGTGTGTCACATGGGGGACCCTCATCGCGATGCAATGGGGAGGGTATTCCTTCCATTTTGCAGGCGAGGCCCCTGCGGGTAACCTGTCTTTGTGCACACAGGTGGTGAGGGACAGAGCCTTTGGTTTCAGGTCTTGTACCCAGGCCTTTCACTAGGCTTCAGAGCCATCTCCCCCCACTACTCCCCCCCACCCTGCCCCTGTCTCCCTTTCCTCTGTGCTCTCTCTATAAAGGCTGGGGCAGCAGTGAAACAAGCCTCGGTGGGCACTGGGGAGGAAGAAGGGAGAGTGAAGGTTTAGCAGTTTTGTGACAAAGAGGAGCAGAATGGACCTGGACATGCTTGCCAACTGGCCTTGCACATCAGAGTTATGGGATGCTAGAAACACAAGCACCCCTCCCCCAGGCTCCCACAACAGGTGTCACTTGCTGAACAGGCTGTGCTGGGAGGGCCTGGGTGCGGGAGGGGCCATCGGGCCATCTGAGCCAGGCGGGTCATGGAACTGGAGACACTGCTGGCAGAGTGGCTTGTGCCGCCCCATGAAACATTTATGCTGGGGGAGAGCAAAGGTGGTGTTATGTTCCCTTCCTCAGTGCTGGGGAGGGGAAGATGAGCCAAGGGAAGGAGGCGGTGTGTGTGTGTGTGTGTGTGTGTGTGTGTGTGTGTGTGTGTGTGGAGGGTGTCCCACAGCCAGCAGCTGGGAGGTGCATCTGTTTGACGAGGCCTTAGCTGGTTAGCTTGACCTTGCCAAGTAGCCTGGGACCAAGAAAGGGAGCAGAAGGGAAACCTTAACAAGGTGAAACGAGCTCTGGGTGCCAGGCATGGGCTGTGTGATCAGCTCCTAGCAAGGAAGGCAGGGCAAGCTGCTTGTCTCTCTGAGTCTCGGTAACCTCATCTGTACAATGTGGTTACCGTACCCGCTAGCATGGCTCTTGCAAGGGAGGATGATGTAATTAATGCATGCACACATGGTTATGCCCTCGCTGCTCTCTCTGGAACCCAGGCTGATCCAGTATCGCCTGTCACTGGAGAAGGAGAGGGTCTGGAAGGTCTCCCCCAAGCTGTGAAATGCTCCAGCCTAGAAACGCGCTCATTGCATTGGCCAAAGCAAACCAGATGGCCTTCCTTCAGGGGAGGAAGGTGGTCAAAGGTGTAGGATTCTACTGTGCACTGGAATTTTGTGAACAGCTCCAAGGACATCCACATCCATCAAGGGAACGTCCATCTGACTTCAATGCCAATAAGAAGAGCAACAGCTGACGTTAGTTGGCCACTGAGCACGTACTAGATTCTGCAGTGAAGTTCCTACACGTATCACACTTAATCCTCATAACTCTGCTACGAGTCGGGCATCCCTATCCCTGTTTTACAGATGAGAGAATGGGAGTCAGAAAGGGGAACTAAGCTTGCCCACTACCTTGTACCATGCTGGCCACAAATGGGGCCAACCCTGCAGTGCCCAGCACCCCAGGTGGGTGGGTGGGGTGCATACAGAGGGCTGTGATGCCCACAAGACCAGCCTGTTTTCCAGTCAGAGCCCTGTCTCTTTTCCGGAGCCCCGCGGGGAGATGCTGTGAAGGGGGAGGAGTGATGGGGAGCAAAGCCCAGAAGGGTGAGGCCTTTCCACACTCACCTGTGCCTGAACGTCTGCGTGTGCCACACCAGGCACCAAAGGCCGACCACAGGTTTTACCAGAGAGCTCCGGGAGGGTCCTCCAACCCTAAATATCTTCCCGAAACGCTTCTCAGGTCGTCGCCAAGTCCGAAATGTCACCACCAAACACAGTCCGCTCCCTGGAGATGGCACAGCCCGGGAGCAGAGGGAGTGGACGCTGAAGCGGAGAAAGTCAGGAGCCATGAGTGCAGGTCTTGGCTCGGCCGGAGCTGGATGACCCGGCAAGTTACGGGGCTTCCGAGACCTCAGTTTTCTAACCTTAAAAATGGGCCATGACTACATGGCCTTCTTCACAGGACTATTTTCAGGCCAAGAGAAACATGCAAGACGCAGTGTCTTGTGATCGGAAAAGAACTACACATAGGACTCCTCCCGCACACCCACCGCAGGAAGGGGGAGACTCGGTGGCAGGTGGGCCCGTCCCTGTGCACGGGTTTGGAGCTCCTGCTGGCCTTCCTGGCGGAGCCCCCTTAGGTGACGCCGGGTGCTGTGAGGGCGCCGGGGCGGGCACAGCCTGGCGCCCAGAGAGCCTCGGCCTGTGGAGCAGCGCCCCAGTCTGAAAGGGCCCCTGCCCGCACGGCGGCTGAGCTCGGGTCGCCTCCCAGCACTGTCACCTGTCTGTGCGGGGGGAGGCACGGCAGAAGTGGGGGCAGGTTGGGAGAGGGGGCTCTTGGGCTGTGACTACGTCACAGGTGGGACAATAGCAGAAACCCTCAATGCCAAGCTTGTGCCCGCCCTGTTCTGAGCACCTGTCCAGTTCCACCTCGCTGGAATCGCACTGCAATCCAAACAGTTGGGCACTGTTATCATCCCCTTTTTTTCAAACGAGGAAACTGAGGCAAAAAAGCGTAAGCAGCTGGCTGGCCAGGAGCTGGGCTTGCGGTGAGCTGTTCCTGCTGAGACAGCGGCCGCCCACAGGAGCGCTGTCAGGGCAGCGGTCCCGAGCCCGCCCTGGCCTGCAGCCAGCGCTTTAGACGGATATTCCGGGGGATTCGCAAACTCGGGCAGTGTGGGCAGCTGCCTGGGGCTGCCCTGGAGGGTGAGGAGGTCTGATGGCTTGAACAGAAGGTTCGTGAAGGAAGCAGGCAGAGCCAGGCCGGACTTCCGTACTCAGTGACTCCAAGATCCCTGGGCTGAAGGACACACCACTACCCTCCGGGCTGTAAAAGGAAAACACTTCTAATAAGGGAGGGCCCGGCCGTTCTCACCAGGTGTCTCAGATGTTGAATGTGAACAAAGGTGCATCTCAGGAGTGATGAGTTCTCCGGCTGGGACCGGATTTTGGAGGGCTCTGAGGCTGGGCGAGCCAGCTGCGGGCCTGCTGGCACCCCTCGTCCTGAGCAGAACCTGCCCTGGGCTCGGAGCCTCTCCCTGCCACGCTGCCTGGTGTCCTACAAGGATGGCAGGAGCGGCCCACGGGCCTCTCAGGGCTGTTAGCACAAGAAGGGAGGCGGCAGGAGGACAGCACGCCCGGCCCACACACCCGCCCTCTGCCCCTCCAGCCACAGGCCTGATGATCGGCTGCCTGGTCTACCCGGACGGCTGGGACTCCAGTGAGGTGCGGCGCATGTGCGGGGAGCAGACGGGCAAGTACACGCTGGGCCACTGCACCATCCGCTGGGCCTTCATGCTGGCCATCCTCAGCATCGGAGACGCCCTCATCCTGTCCTTCCTGGCCTTCGTGCTGGGCTACCGGCAGGACAAGCTGCTTCCGGACGACTACACGGCCGACGGACAAGGTAACGCGCTCCCCAGGGCGGCGGGGCTTCCTCCCGGCCAGTCCCCCAGGAGCTGGGAACACAGCCCCGGTCTGAGGCAAAGGCTAGCGGAGGGTTACAATCAGGTAGGTCATGAGGGGGGGCAGTGCTGTGGGGCAGAGGCTGTCTGATGTAAAAGGGTGCCCCCCTGCATTCCCAGGGAGTCTTGATCCAGTTGGGAGCCAGGCCTGCCTCCTCCAGAAAGCAGCCCTGAACTGCAGGTGGGGGAGCTCCGGCTCCAGAGGTAGCCTGGGGGTCCCCCATAGGCCCGTCCTGTTTCCTCTCCTCCACATCCTGCCCCTCAGTCACAGAAAACAGGGGAAGCGACCCTGGAGGCTAGGCGGACCTCAGGAAGCCTCCGGACTGCCTCCCAGGGCCTCCCTTCTCCTGCACTCCCGTGGCTCAGTCAGCCCTTCCTCTGTCTGAGGGGCTCGGGCTCTCACTCCCTGCGAGTCCTGAAGCACCCACCCCCAGCAGGTGGCCACTGTCCGGGGCCAGTCCTACTTCAGAGACCTCTCTAGCCTCGTTCCCCATAGCCGTCTTCATACCATCCATTGGCCTGAGCTAGAAGCCGCAAACTCCCTTCCCGTGCCCGAAGACCTTCCGAGGGGGAGGACTGAAGCCCTCCAGGAAGAGCACCGAGAGGAGGAAGCAAAGAGGGCCACCGAGCTCGGGTCTGCTCTGGCTCAGGGTCCTCACTTCCCCACAGGGAAGTGATTGGGAACATCTCACCCTTCGAGAGACTCACAAACCTCAGCTACGTGGTTAAAGATGGAAACCAAATTCCTAGAAAGAGCTGGGCCAAGGGGGAGGAATGGGTCCTGGGGATGCTTAGGGCCTGGGTCCCTTGCAGACCCCATAAAGGGAAATGGAAGCGGTACTTACTCTGTGTGGAGGAGTGAGGCAAGGTTCTTAGGGGCCATTTTATTTAATCCTCACAGCAACCCCGTGGGGAAAGGTTGGAGGAGGGGATCCCAGCAACCTACAGAGCTCTCTGCATTGAGGGTTTTTCCAGAGAGGCCTCAACAGGAGCTGCTGGAGGCAAGCTGCCTCCCTCTCAGCTTCAAGACACGGCACAGAGCATTGTCATATTACCCACTTGTGTTCTTCCTTTAAAATGTTTGTTTAATGTTTTTAGAGAGAAAGAGAGAGGGAGAGGAACACTTATGTGAGAGAGCAGCATCAACCCATTTCCACTAGTACCCACCCTACGGGGATGAATCTAAAACCTAGGCATGTGCCTCGACCAGGAATCAAACTGCTGATCCTTCAGTGTATGTGACGGTGCTCAACCAAGGGAGCCACATCAGCTAGGGCTCATTTGTTTTTGTTTTTTTCTCAGAAGAAATTTTTTGATCTAGAAAGAAATTTTATTCACATAATTCCTTTCAAGTACTTTCTTATAATAGATGGTTTTGTCCCTTTGACACTTAAAAAAAATATTTTGATTGATTTTAGAGAGGAAGAGGGAGAGATAGAAACATCACTGATGAGAGAGAATCATTGATTGGCTATCTTCTGCCCGCCCCTCACTGGGGATTGAGCCCACTGCCCAGGCAGTGCCATTGACAGGTATCGAACACAGGACCCTTCAGTCTGAAGGTTGATGCTCAGTCCATTGAGCCAAACTGTCTAGGGCTCTGACACTTCCTTCATTAACTGAACCATCAATTCCTGTCCCCTCCTTTCTTCCCTCTCATTTTGACCCCATGAAACTTGTCTTCCATTTTCTCAGATTTTCTTCTCTATATACATCAGTCTCCTCACTATCATACAAGATTTATTCTTTTTGTTTATTACCTGTTAGAAAACACCCACGTGAACTTCTTGAATTCATCTAACTACTCAATGAAGTCCTTACTGTTGCTGACAGCACAACATTGGGTCAGGAGAGCAGAGTTTGATTCCTAGGTCTTTCGAGCCACATGACCTCGGTGTCCTTTCCAGTAAAAAGGGGGTCATGAAGCCCTGCTCTTGTTACCTCCATGATGGCGTCGCATAAATGAAATAATGAAAGCAGAAGTGAAGACTTGCACCAGTATATAGTTGCTAACCTACTCTTTAGAGGTTAAGGAAGCAAAGTAAATGAGTAAGGGCTTTAGTCAGACCTGGGTGTAAAGTTTTGGTCTCATTAACTAGTGTGTGACTTTATAGAGGTTACTTAACTTCTCTGAGTCTCAATTTCCTCATCTGAGCCTCATTTCCATGGGGGTAAGTAACTTACTTCAAAAGATTGTGCTCAGGAACAAGATAAAAATATCTGCTCTTGTGACTTCGTTGAAGACTGTACTGGAATTTACAACCAGTGCAATTCGTCAAGAAAAAGAAATGAGAGAACTTGAATTTGGAGAGGAAGAAGTAAAAATAACTTTTTAAGAGATGGCATGACTTTGCATATAGAAAATTCTAAATAATCCACTAAAATACTATTAAAGCTAATACACAATTTTGGCAAGGTTGCAGGATATAAGAGCAATGTACAAAATTCTAACGGATTTGTATTCACTCAAAATGTACAATTTGAAAATGAAATTAAGAAAACAATTTCATTTATAGTAGCATCAAAAAATAAAATGGAAAAATTTAACAAAAGAAGTGCAAAGTGTATACATGAAAAAATTTAAACAGTGTTAGAAAAATGGCTAAATAGATTGAGTGGCCAGATTATTATGATCTCTGGACACACAATAATCTGGCCATTCAGTGTATATCCTATATAATAAAAGGCTTATATGCAAATTGTCCCCTCAACCAGGAGTGGGACCAGCAGGCAGGCTGGCCAACTGCCCATGTCCCCTCTTCCTGGCCAGGTTGGCTGGACACCACTTATGCGCCAGGCCTCTAATGTATATATACACTGATTGGCCATATTATTATGCGTTCAGATATCATAATAATCTGGCCATTTGTGTAAATGAAAACATCCATGTTCATGGATCAGAAGACTTAATATTGTTAAGCTGGCAATATTACCCAAACTAATCTACAGGTTAGATGTGATCGCTATACAAATCCCACCTAGCTTTTTGAAGAAATTGACAAGCTGATCTTAAATTCATATGGAAATGCAAGAAACCAAGAATAGCCAAAACCATCTTTAAGAACAAAGTCAGTCAGAGGATGAACATATCTTGATTTCACACTTATTAAAAAAGCTACAGTAATCAAGATAGTGTGGTACCTGCCTAAGAACAGACACACAGGTCAATGGAATAATAAAACTGAGACCAGAAATAAGTCCAAACATCTAGTGTTGACTGATTTTCAACAAGGATGCCAACACTATTTATTGGGGGAAATAACATTCTTTCAATAAATGGTGCTGGAACAGCCAGATATCTACATGCAAAGAAGATTAAGTTGGACCATCCACCTTACATCATATATAAAAATTAATTCAAAATGGATCAAAGACCTAACTGTAAGATATAAAATGCTTAGAGAAAAATGTAGGTGTCAATCTTCATGACCTTGGATTAGGCAATGGTTTCTTAGATATGACATCTAACAAACAAGCCACCAAAAAAAAAAAAAAACCAAAAAAAACCCACACAAAAAACAAAAAAAAAACACCCTAAAATAGACAAGTTGAATTTTATCAAAATTGAAAACTTTTTGCTTTAAAGGACACCATCAAGATAATGAAGACAACTCACATTATTGGGAGGAAATATTTGCAAATCATAATTATAATTCTAGTATCCAGAATATGTTAAGAACTCTTACAACTTGCCAAAACCGGTTTGGCTCAGTGGGTAGAGCAGTGGCCTGCAGACTGAAAGGTCCCAGGTTCGATTCCAGTCAAGGGCATGTATCTTGGTTGCAGGCACATCCTCAGTAGGGGGTGTGCAGGAGGCAGTTGATCGATGTTTCTCTCTCATTGATGTTTCTAACTCTCTATTCCTCTCCCTTCCTCCCTGTGAAAAATCAATGAATATATTAAAAAAAAAAAAGAAACTACTTAACTAAAAAAACCAAAAACTCTTACAACTCAACAATAAAAATACAAATAATCCAATTTTAATTTATTTTTATTTTTATTAAAATACATTTTTATTTATTTCAGAGAGGAAGGGAAAGGAAAAATTTATTGCTATACAAATCCCACCTAGCTTTTTGAAGAAATTGACAAGCTGATCTTAAATTCATATGGAAATGCAAGAGACCAAGAATAGCCAAAACCATCTTTAAGAACAAAGTCAGTCAGAGGATGAACATATCTTGATTTCACACTTATTAAAAAAGCACTTATTAAAAGGAGTTAGAAACATCAATTATGAGAATCATTGATTGGCTGCCTCCTGCATGCCCCTTACTGGGAATTAAGTCTGCAACTTGACTGGAATCCAACCCGCGACCTCAGTCCGCAGGCTGACGCTCTATCCACTGAGCAAAACTAGCTAGGGTCAAAGAACCCACTTTTTAAAATGGGCAAAGAATTTGAATAGACATTTCTCCAAAGAAGATATACAAATGGCCATAAGCACATAGAGAAACTCAACATCATTAGTCATTAGGAAAATGCAATTCAAAACCACAATGAGATGTCCTTTTTCACCTACTAGGATGGCTATCATAAAAAAGATGAACAAGTGTTGGTGAGCATGTGAGAACTTGGAACCCTCATACACTACTAGTGAAAATGTAAAATTTGGCAATTGCTGTGGAAACCAGAATGGCAGTTCCTCAAACAGTTAAACATAGTTACCATGTGACTCAGCAATTACACTCCTAGGTTTATATGCAAGAAATTTGAAAACATATGTTTACATAAAAACTTGTGCATGAATGTGCATAATAATAAAAAAGTGGAAAAAATTTAAATGTGTATTAACTGATGAATGGGTGAACAATATGTATATATCCATACAATGGAATATTATTCAGTCATAAAAAACAACTAAGTACTGAAAATTGCTACCATGTGAATCTTGAAAAAGTAACATTATCCTGAGGCTCAGTGGTTAAGCATCAATCTAGGAACCAAGAGGTAATGGTTCAATTAATGGTCAGGGACCATGCCAGGGATGTGGGCTTGATCCCCAGTGTGGGGTGTGCAGGAGGCAGCTGATCAATGATTCTCATCATTGATGTTTCTATCTCTCCCTCCCTCTCTGAAATCGATCAACCAATCTATCAATCTAATTATATTGAGAAAGAATATAATTAGAAATGACCCCAATATAATTAAAAATGACTCCATTTTTATAAATGGGGTCATGTAATATATGGTCAAAAGACCATATATTACATGACCCCATTTATAAAAAAATGTTCAGAATAGGCAAACCCATAGAGACAAAATGTAGATTTTAGTAGTTGCCTAAGGTTAGGAAGAGGGGGAAGTTGGGAGTGATGGTTAATGGGCACAGAGTTTCTTGGATGAGAACATTCTAGAATTAGATAGCAGTGATGGTTGCACAACCTAGTGAATATACTTAAAACTATCAAGCTGTACACTTTAAATGAGTAAAAACTTATGTTTAAAAGATTGTGCTGAGGTTTAGATAGTGCATATAGAACACCAACTCTTGCTTGCACATTATAGCCGATTAATCAATATTAGTGCTCTCCCCCTTTTTTCTGGTAACCCCACATTTCACATCATCCACTTGCCCAACCAGTAAGGGCTCCTGTGCTCAGCTGCACAGACACCTTGGTGCAGTGGTGAGGGGAAGAAGTCTCTTGGACCTAAGACCTGATGATGGAGACCAGCTAGCAAAATGGAATTACAAGCTGATTGATGTTATGAACAGAAGTGCAAGCTTTCTTGAGAATGCATGAGGAATTTGATGGGGAATTACCCCCAAAACAAGCCTTGGTTGTAAGCTAGCACCGTTTTCTCTTTCTCCTTGCAGAGGAAGTCTGAGGCAGCTGGAGGCGGTGAGTACGTCACAGGAAGGTGGTCTGCATGCCTTGGGTGGGCTGTGGCTTGACTCACTGAGTCCTCAGCCGGAATGACTCATGTGCCTGGGCTGTGGGGGCTGCGAGGTTGTCTAGGGACCCCCAGGTGGGGACTTGGTTGGTATCTGAGTCCTTCACTGAGGGGTAAACAGCAACCTTTTAGTTTTGTTTTTGTCTTGATAAGTGGAAACAGTGCAGATAATTCAAAGTAGGCAGTTTCATAAATTCATCTTTTTGTGGAGCATGGCTGACAAGAACGCCTTTTCATAAGTCATGACTGTAATATGGACTCGTCTTTCAGAAATAATTATTTTTAAGACTTGAAAACCTAATAAAATAGAAAACATGAGGAAAACAAATATCCCAGGAAGCTAGGTGAATAGAATTACTGTACTGATATTATATTTACTTCCATGCTCCCTGTTAGCTGAGGCAGAAAGGAACAAGTGAACAATTTTAATGTATGCCTGAAAAAAAGCATGGCATATCAACATCTTTACTGTCCTTTAAGTTTCCAAAATGTGATTGAGCAACATCATCAAGGAACACATTCTAAAGAAAAGCCCAGGACAGTGTCAGCTTCTTCACCTGTGTGTGAGGGTGGGAGGGAATATCTCCCTTCAAACTATGTTAATTTTTCCAAATTACCTTCCAATCTGCGACCATGTACATATGCTTTTTCAAATATTTTAAAATCAGCCATGCACTCCTTAGATGTTTCTGACTTCAATCTGCACCCAGTGGCCTGGGGATCTTGTTCAAGGGCAAGTTCTGACTCTGGGAGATCAGGCAAACGACACTGCCTTCTAACAGCTCTCCAGTGATGGATGCGGGCATTGGGGTCACTCTTAGTGATAATTTCTCGTTTTCCCAAAGTTCATTAAAGACTTTAAAAGTCACCAATTGCTAAACTGGACCGTGGTTATTAGCCATTTTGGGTTGCTGTCATAGCTTCCCAATAGATTCTGGAGTGGGACTAGTCAAAGGTAGCTGCCTCTCTCTGCTCCCTTTTTGCACTACCTTTTATTTACATTTTAACGGACATGAATTTTTTTGAGGAGCATTGAATACATTAATGAGGAGGATGCACGCCTGGATAGAAGTGAATCAAAATGTGAGCATCCATGGAGCAGCCCTTTTTTTTTTCCCCCTTGGCTTTAAAAGTGTCACATTTCACAATCTCAAATGCTTGTTTTAAAGATCACAGGTCATCTATTTCCATGACACTGGAAACGTAGGGAATTGAATTCTTCAGATGAACTTGTTCCTGCCCACATCCTGTCCGAAGCCCTTTGCTGCGGGATTAGAACCTGAGAACCTGGCGGGCTCCTGAGACAGGCCACCCACTGTCTACAGAACTTTCCAGAGAAGCAGAACTGCAGTGACCACACCAACGATATCCAGACTCAGTCCTCTCTCCTGATGGGAACCCCAAGTTCTCTTCCGATCCCTTCAGACCTGCAAATTATTTTCCCGCAGGAGACGTCTCTGTGACAGGAGAGGCGAAGAAGTCTACGCCTGAGTGCCTCCAGTGAAGGCACATGGGACACTGCCCTGGCTCTCAAGGAGGCGGCCGAGTGAGCTGGATCACTTCAGGTTGAAGTTTTGAGGGGCCTTTGCATCATCTTTCTCACATTTCGCTCCTACTGATGCTCAGGGGTGGGTGAGGAAGAGGCCTCCGGAACCCGAGTCCATTAGGAAGCCTAATAAAGACTGGGTGAACATAGGACCTAAGTCCTGTGTTGAGACTGAATTGATATTTTCCCCTTTGGAACTCCAGATCACACCTTTTCACAGAACCCACCCAGACCCAATCAGAAATGGACCCCAAATTCATTAATCTACTTGTGTTCAAGTAGTTTATATAAATCTATATATATAAAAGCCTAAGTGACCAGTTGACCAAACCACCGGTTGACTGGTCACTATGACACTCATTGACCACCAGGGGGCAGACGCTCAACACAGGAGCTGCCCCTGGTGGTCAGTGCACTTCCACAGCAGGAGTGCCGCTCAGCTGACCAATGGGTTCCAGATGCAGGGCTCAAGGCTGGCAATTGCAGCCGAGACCACAGTGGGGTGGTGGCAGTGGCGGCAGCAGGCAGTGAGGCTGGGATGAGAAGAGGCAGGCAGGAGCAGCAGGCGGCACTGGACTGCTGCTTTCAGCCTGATCCCTGCAGGCTACACTGAGGGAGGGACTCCACCAATGCACCAATTCGTGCACCGGCCTCTACATTATATATCTATATGGCTAATATGCACAGTGTTTCCTTAGGAATTTGGGAGTTCAATTGCTTGCTATGATGTGCCCTGATCATCAGGGGACTTCACAGAATGAAGGCAGGCACCAGCTGGCAGCCAGGATTCTGATCAACCCTGATTGCTGGCCGGGCCTAGGGACCCTACCTGTGCACAAAATTTGTACACTGGGGCTCTAGTTATAATCATCAATGATACATCTTGCAAAACATGTTGGGCTTGGCATACTAAATGGTGAATACTTTGCAGGCCCCAGAGGGGCACTGGAGCAGTGTCAACACGACGATAGGCCCTTCAGACCGTTTCCTGCCTGCGGGGTGATGTGGAGAAAAGGGTCTTGTTGATTATCTGCACCCAGTGATAACAAGGAAGAGGTGTTTCCTGCATGGGCGCTGTTCCCTCACAGGGAGGGTAAATGCTGAGCAGGCTGGACATTCTCCTGGGCTGTAGCACATGACATTTGCACCAATGCACTCTAACCACCTGCCCAGTCAGCGCAGTGACCCTCTCAGTGCAGATGGGCGAGGGGCGAGAGCCTCCCAGTACTATCCCTATTGCTGATGGAAAGTTTTATTAAACATTTCTATTCGTTTTTGAGGAAGAGGGAGAGATAGAAACATCAACGATGAGAACCACTGACCAGCTACCTCCTGCAAGTCCCATACTGGGGATCAAGCCTGAATCTGGGCATGAGCGCTGACTGGGAATGGACCTGTGACTTCTGGTTCACAGGTCGACGCTCAACTACTGACCCATGCCAACTGGGCACATGGGAACTTTTAGAATGAGATTTAAGAAAGATCATATTCATATTTTCTTGTGCTGAAAAAATTATTTCAGAGCACCTACTTTATGCAAGCTCGATGAAATGACAGAATTTCCTTAAGTCCCGTAGCTTAGTATTTTAGCTGTATTTGTTTATTCAAAAGTTTTAATATTTTTGATTTTAGAGAGAGGGAAACATCCATTGACTGCCTCCTGCGTCCCTACCGGGGATCGAACCCATGACCTTGGGTGCACAGGATATGTCCCAACTGAGCTACACTGGCCAGGGCTGTTCATTTATGTAACAAACCCAAAAAACAAACACAAGCATTTCTACCTTCAGAAGCCTCTCCACCTTCAAAATCTCTCTGAAATGGCAACTGTGGTTATTGACAGAAGCTTCTGTGGGCTTAAGGTGCACCTTCAACAGCTGGCACCTCGCGCTGCCGGGCACAGCAAGCTTCAACGCTGGGAAGAACTGCAAATGAGTCACCACCCAGCGTTCCCTTTCAGTTTTATCTTCAGGGAAACTCAGAATTCAGCCTCCCCAATATTAGTAATAATTTTTGTTGATACTGCTTATCAGCATTATAAAGTGGCTTTACCTTTAATAAATTCTTATAAGGCACCTCCAATCTCATCTTTGAAAGTATACAGAAAGCCAATAAAACAGACTCCTCTGTCTCATTTCTTGCTCACTCGCCCTGGCTTGCCTGTCTTTGGCTGGGGCTAGGGATGATTGTGATGCCCACGCCTCACCGACTAACAGGTATGGCCGAGAGGAAAGCCTAGTCATTTATAACTCAAGTGTGGGCTGGAAAGATACCCCAAAGGTTTTCATTTCCTTACATCTCTGTATATTACCTTTGCTCATAAAAAAATTACCCAGAACTCAGTGGCTTTAAAACTTGTTTCACCCTGGCTGTGTGGCTCAGTTGGTTGGGTATCGTCCTGTGCACCAAAAGGTTGCTAGTTCGATTCTTGGTCAGGGCACATGCCCAGGTTGTGGGCTTGGTCCCAGGTGTGTGCGCGTGCAGGAGGCAGCTGATTGATGTTTCTCCAAAAACCAACCCACCCACCCACCCACCCATTTCAGTCCCCGTGGGCTGGAATCGGCATGTCTCAGCCACGTGTCCCTGCTCAGTTTCTGCGGTAACGAGGGTGTTGGACATGATTCTGAGCTCAGCGGCTGTCTGCAGGGCTGTGCACTGAGGGGCTCTCCCCAGCAGCACTCACATGGCACCTAGAGCAAGGACTCCGAGACCAGCCACAGCCCTTCTGTAACCCAATCTCAGAAATGACAGTGTCACGTTTGCCCTAATATGTCGGTCACAAAGTCCAGCCCACATTCAAGGCAAGGGGATTACATGTGTGTGAATAACATGAAGGGGGAGTCATTGAGATCCTTTAAAATTGGTTCTGTTACCCTATTTATTTTTTGGTGTCATAATTAAGTACTTTAATTTCCTGCTGGATTAGGCGTTTACCAGAATGCTTTACTGGAACAAAGATTGGATTCTAGTAACCTAACATGCTGCTGACGGATACATGTTTGTTTTGTAATGAAGTTGCTCAAGATGAAAGAAGGGCCCCGATCCTGAGAGCCCCCCTCCCCATTTTGTTATCTAACCTCAAGAGGACTCAGAATAAGGTCCACTAATCCCCAGCATTCCTCTGTGTTTGGTAAAACCATAGCTACCAATGCAGTACTTTAGGGTCACAACTTATAAGAACATAGCTCCAACTGTCAGCAGCTGACGCACCTTCTGTAATACAATCCAGTTCTGCCAATTGGAAGACAAGAAGTGTTATTGTGTTAAAATGGACAAAAGCGAGGTCTGCATTGAGGACAAAAGAGATTATAATAAAAAGTGAACTTGGGAGAATGCAAAATCAAATCGATTATCTACATATTAAAAACCCTCCCCCCATTATAAGGAATGGTGCAGTGGTAACAGAACTAGGTGCTAATGTAAACTTGCTTAATTAGTTAAAACTTAACATGATCTCAATTTTCTGGCCTTTAAACTGGGATACATGATTTCACAAGGACTTGGTGTGGATTAATATCTGTGCAAAGACTTAAAGACAAATGCATATCATACACTTTAGTTTTTAACCCCTTTTAAAAACAGGACTTCAGTGACAAACAAATTCTGCCTTGGGCAGTTTCTCAGTGGTCAAGAGAGTCAGCCCACACACTAAAGGGCTGTAGTTTGATTCCAGTCCAGGAATCGATGCAGGAGGCAACCAATCCATGTTTCTCTCTCCCCTTACCTTTTTCCTTTCCACTTTCTCTAAAAATCAATGGAAAAAATATCCTCAGGTGAGGATTAACACACACAAATCCTCAAGGTCCATATATTAACTTTATGATTTAAATAAGCATTTAGTTTATATTTTTACCTTCATATAGTTTTGAAGACAGAAAGCTGTTACCAATGCCTTGGCATGAAATTGGTGGGCAAAGTTCAGATTCTATTGTCAATAAATCACAATTTTCTGTGATACAGAAGATTAAGAGCAAATCACGTTCCTTAGAAGGTCAAACTGGAAGAATCCACCGGCCTCAAAAATAAAATAGGCAATAAGATTTATAACCTGGCCCTTCCTGGAATAGCTATAAACCACTTCTCTGTGGACACTCGGGGCAGATGGAGTTACAGTGGGGTTGTACTCCGCCCGTTTGCTGGCTCCTCTGTGAGAGTAGCTATAAGCTCTCCTCGGGCAGAACTAACCTTCCCACACTCCTGAGTTCTAGGTCTGTTATTTAACACAAGGCTTAGAGGGAATGCCCAGAGTGGCCTGCTGAACATAATGGTTTGATGAATCCTGATTTAATATTTTAGGTGGTTTTTAAAACAAGTTCCATTATGGTCAACATAATGAATACACTATGTATGTCTTAAAAAATATGGCAGAAAACAAATTAATTAGAGCAGTTTATGTAGTTCAAGGATTGGAAAGTACTTCCTATGAATAACACTAAAAATATCACCAATAAAAATGAAAAGCCAATTAAACCTAGAAAAGAATGTGATGGAAAAAGTAAAACAATGCATTTCTAAGCCCTTACCAAGTCATCAGAAAGGAAGCATGCCCAAAGAAAGCTGGGTAACATGGGCAAATAACCTAAAATTACAAATGGGCACTACGATCCGTGAAAGAAGTTTCTGACCTCAGAGACGCCCCTTTTTGGTCAAATTGGCTACTAGGAACAAAATGAGTGAGATTATAACAGGCTGGTCGAAGCAGGACAGCCTAAGTGTTCTCCAAAGGAGTGAGGCGACATTTATTAAAACCTTAAAAATGTGCTTCCTCTGGCCCAGCCGTCTCATTTCTAAGAATTTATCAGGAATAAATCAGACAAGTACGCAAAACTTGTGTATACGAGTTCACCGTGCCAGTGCTTTAGCTAAAAGTCCACAAATCTTTAGCATTTCACACACACGGTGATTGCAATCTGAGGAAAAAAACACACCACGAATATTCTGGGACAAATGCGGTTAGATGTACGATTAACAATTTTCGTAGAACTTTCCAAAATGTACTGCTAGTTCATCCCAACCCCAACTTAAGACAGAAGCAAAGCTACAGACCTCACAGAATAGCATGTGTTCAGGCTGTAGCTTCGTTGTATTAAATATATTTAAGTTCAAAAAGCACACAGAGCCAGCCGATCCCTTCCTCCACTCTGAAGCGTGGGTCAGACCAACCTGGGCAGTAAACGAACACGTTTTCTGGAAACATGTGGGTTATTAAACTGTTTATTGTATTGCATTTACAAAGAAAACAGAATGCATCCAGTAGAAAGAGTAAAAATGGATTCAGGGTTTTATATTTAACTGACAGCAAATAGAAATCCTTTTGTGAGATCGTGGTAATTTGACGTGTTATGATCAAATTCAATAAGGTACACAGGGTACTTGAAGATCAAATTCTATAGCTGCCTCTTTCTACGGCTTCTAATTCATCTGGCTCCTTAAATGATGGGGGAGCCCTTATTTCATGAGAAAGAGTTCCAGAATGAAGTTATAGGTTCTCCTATTAAAAGTTCTTTTCATGTCAACTGTTAAAATGGGGCTATTTGTGTTTTGGTTATTTCACCTTAATATCATAATCGGAATTCCTGTAATCCCACAGGTGTGATATGACAGTGTAGAATTCAGTTCTAATCTGCTATTGCTTTAGATGTTTATATATATTGCTGAAACCCAAAGTGGATTAGAATTGCTGAAGGAATTTCCCTGCCGTTGTTTGATACAATCTATTCTCTTTATTCTTGATAGATGCATAGGCAGCCTTACTTAAAATTCTTTCTATAGGGCCCGGCCAGTGTGGCTCAGTGGCTGAGTGTCGACCTATGAACTAGGAGATCTAGGTTTGATTCCTGGTCAGGGCACATGCCCAGATTGCAGGCTCGGTCCCCAGTAGGAGGCATGCAAAAGGCGGCCCAATAGTGATTCTCTCTCATCATTGATATTTCTCTCTCTCCCTCCCCCTCCTTTCTGAAATCAATAAAAATATATTTTAAAAAATTAAAAAAAGATGCTCTCTGTAGGAACATGTCTAATTTCAGGACTACCCAATCAAGGATCTGACGAATGGCTGGTCATAGATATTCAGGGTACTGTTAACTGGATTGCATAATTGCACCACTTTTTCCTTTGCCATTGTTGGTGAATAAATGACAGAATCTATATTCCAATTCCCGTACAGAAAGCTGGCTACCCAAGTCTCCTTGGGAGCTTTGCTAGCAGAGCCTCAGGCTGCACCTCCGTGGCTTCTGTGAGTCAGTCCTGTAGCCTCTGGAGAGTGCTGCGGTCCCAAGGCCCTCTTGGTCCAGGTCAACAAGCGGCTGTGGCCTCTATCATGCCCCTTTTGCTTTCAATATGAACCGAGAAATATGCAGTCTAGGGCAAGTCTGAAAGAGACCCACTCTAAAATAAAATTCATAAAGCCTTTTCTCATTTGAAAAAGAAAACACCTCAAATACATCCAATCATCTCAAAATTGCAGTTAAAAACTTACATTATTCAAGGAAATAGCAGCAGAGAATGGTTAATCCTAAACCAACCACACACACACACACACACACACACACACACACACGACCCAAACCCTCAAAATAATGAAACAAGTGTCCCCCACCCCCATGTTCTTTTATCCTGGGATTTCATTTAAGACCTGCAGCCTCTGAGAAAATGAGAAAGGCAAAGCCACAGAGGGAAACTGTTCCAAAGCCAAATTTTGGACAAGATAAAGAAAATGCTGTAAATAACATTTGGGGATCATTTGGAAAAGGATCAAGAACTCGAGGACATTTTCTTCTTAGATGAGAAATCTCTGAAGCCCAGATCTTCTTTCTAGCGTCAGCCTGAATTCTTTAGCCATGGGGAAATACAAGTGAAGTGAGTCAAGTGCCAGCCAGGGATTAAAAAAACCCCAAGACCCTTCAAACAGCCAATCAAAATAACTGCTTTTAGGACAACAGAAGATACATAGGAAAGGACAGTTTGTAGGACCCCTGTGGTTCTGGAGAAATAACAGTCGATGGTTCTGTTTTTGTTTCCATCAAAAATCTTAGGATCATTAAGAGAACATGACATCATTTTGATCAGTGATATAATAGTACCCAGATTTGGTGTTTATACATCGATTTAAAAAGACAGTCAAGTCGCAGGAAAAATGTGAACATCGAGAACAACAGAAACAATCCAGGAAGATGGTGCAGCCTGGATACAGCAAGTTTAATGTCTCTGCCGTACAGAGTGACCCTTCCCCCCTCTCATCCTTATGCTGGCGAGAGGATATGCTCTAGAAAATTTGACTCTTAGAGTCAGTGAATAAAAGGATGAGCTCCTACATATTCATAGCTCTTTTCAAAAAGGCTGCTTATTATTTAAAGGATGTCCGAATGGAAAGACAAGGGCACAGGGCGAGAGGCTGTTCCACATTTTAGTCCATTAGTCTTTGGCAAATCCCAATCAAGGCCAAATTCACCTAGGACGCCCAATGGCTGTGGGGAATCTCTCCACAGGGTCAAATAAGCAGACCCAAACGAACAAGTTGGAATAATAAAAAAAACCGCCCAAAGCCTAGAAACCCTTGAAGGAAGAGCTTCACCTGCAGAGGGAAGAGGGAAACGCCTGGAGGGAAGCGGAGGGGCGGCGGCGTGCGGTCTCTGCTGCGGGCTGGCTGGGCCTAGGAGCTGAGCCACGGGTGCCGGAGACAGTCAGCGGCAGTGGCCCTCTTCTCGGGGATCAGCTCCAACATGGGCAGTAGGAAATCCGTGAAGCCAGCTGCCTCGTCCTGAGACCACTCATACTTTTCCACCAGAACCTCGAAGAGGCCCCAGGGCTTCAGCTTCGTGATGTGTTTCAGGTCACCTGTGTGAGAGCAGTACAGAGAAACTGACAACACTGACAAAGGACAAGATTTCATCGTGGAAGCCCAGTAGCAAATCCAGGTAATCTACAAAGAATCAAATTTTACCACCAGAATCTAATTCTCCATCTACAAAGCACCCCCTTCTCTACTTCAGTACCTGGAAAGAAGTTTCACCGTTTTTTCAAGAGGGCCTAAAAATGTAAAGAAACTTGTTTGTTCACTGTTCCAGAATTTTAGCCTTGGTTCCTTAAATCTTTATTTAAGGAAATGAAGATTAAATGCCTGTATACTCCAGATGTACTCAATATGGTGTTCAAAGGCAGTTTACAACAATACACCAAAAACACTTTGCATGTACTCTCTTTTCTTGGCTTGATAGTCTAGTCAGTGTTGCTTAAAAAATGGGCAGTCTTTAAAAAATAAGGAGTTGATAAAACAATAACACAACAAAAAATGAGCTGAATGAACCCCACAAATGCTTTCAGAGACGCTGTGCCACCCTCAGTTCTATTCTGGAACCTCAGTCTAAGGAAAGTCCATTGGCCAGCGGCTGAAGGAAATGCTGCTCTAACGTGCTTTCTCATCTGCAGCCGCTCCTGTGGGCGGCGAGCCCGATAGTCACTTGCTTGGCGGAGGCACGTGTCCCCGGGCTCTGCACACGAGGAGGAACTCTTAGGAAGCACTTCGCCATTCTCCTGCCCCAAGAGGAACACTAAGGAACGTTTCTGAGTGTGCCTGCTGTCTGTGTTGGGAAAGTGACTTTCCTCAGATCTGGTGTAGAGGTTATGAGGAAAAAGGAACCATGGCAAAAAGGGAGAAAAAGGCAAGATAGTTTTCTAGTCCCTTCTGAGTCAGATTTTTACATTTTAGCCTTTAAACTTTATCTGAAATGCAGAAGAAATCCATACTTTTTGAAGTGAGTTTTATCTGTTCCTTCACTAGGAAGTGATAACGAACTTATAAAACTACGAAGTATAAAAGTTAACTCACATGATCGATGTGTTGAAGTGACCGTGAAGTGACCGTGCGAAAGGGCTACAACATGGGCTTCAGCTAAAATGCTGGCCCGCCCTTTGGTAGAGGCAGTTCTTAGGCCAAAGGCTGGCAAAAACCTGCTCATTTCTACAAGTGCTGTAGAGGAGCAACTAACCATGTGCAGAGTAACTAACTTAAACCAGTGTAAACACTTAGATCTCAGAAAACTGAGGCTGTGTCAATGGCCATAACTAGTGGAGCAGCTGGGATTTGAACCCACATGTTCTGGCTCCAGTTTCTGCTCGTGAGCGCACTAATTTCATTTCTGCCAAGCAACAGCTCTCATTCGAAGTACGACCATCCTTCTCTAGGTGCTGGGAACATGTACCCAGTTGTACTTACCTCTTAATTTTAAAGCACTTTTGCCCCCTGAATGTCTGGGAACAAACACACTTATTTTACCTTTTTTGGTGAAAAATTCCTTGGAATATTTTCCTGCCACAATGAGCTTGCGAGGCACCTTCCCCAGAAGTTCTATGATCAGTGCAATGTGATCTGTATGTTTCAAACATTTCAAGAAGGGGAAAAAAAAGACATACATAACAGGAGTAACAAATATCATTCTAGACATTGGCAGAAAGAGTAGCATGCACACCTCTTTGTAAAGCATCTCAGGCTTGCTTTCTGTCCTAAATGGGAAGACGAGGACTCCATCCATCTAATGGAGGATCCAGAAAACCATAAAAAATCAGGTGCCCACTCCAGTGGAACTTGAGCGGTAAGCTAAAACAGTCTTGGTGTGAATGCTCTGCTTCCTGAAGGTGTTTCCCTGGGGCCTAGGTGAAAACTCATGTTAACAATACTACCTCTGCGATTGAAGAAGTCCTGTGAATATTTCCCACTGAGGGCAAAGCGTCTTGGAACTCTGCCTATCAGCTCTATAATGTGCGCAATGTGGTCTAAAATAGAAGGGTAAGAAGAACAGGATCAAGGACAGGCTGTAAAAGAGGTTTTTCCAAGAATAGCTTTTCAAGGACTAGCTGTTTAAAAGTAACTACAAATAAAACCAAGGCTACTCAAGAGGAGACTGGGAAAGTCAAGAATTATTTCAGGTGGTTGATCACCTAGATAGTAGTTGGCATGCCCTTTCCGGAGTTTAGTGGTTTATCTACACCTTTATTTCTATTTTGTCTATGTATTTAGGTTCAGATAGGGTTTTTAGGAAAGGTAAAGCAATGTACCATTATGCTTTTAGACATCGTAGAACTGTTTTTTATTTATAAGAATATTCGTGATGATTAAAGCACTAACATGACTACTTGAGTTTTCACAATCACCCTGTACAACAGGCCAAAGACTTACATACAATTTTAAAGACAAGAAATGAAACCTTCAAAGTATATATGGACTACTTGGAGCTGTAGGGCTAATAAGAGCTAGAATGTGAATGAAAACCCACATTTTAGTCTAGTACAGAGGTGTGTGTGTGTATGTGTGTGTGTGTGTGTGTGTGTGTTAAGTAAAACTGAGCACAAACATTTTAAAGCACAGCTACCTATTTATAGGCCACCAAATGTCCAAGTTATTGGTGCCCGGTGAGTGTCATAGCATGAATGTGGGCTATGGACACTGACAGGGACGTGTGCAGTCTGTCATCAGGAAGTGAGCTTGGGACCAGCCCCATCCACACTTACAGGCAGGGGACAGAAACTATGAAGAGGCTTTAAAGTGAAGGCTCCTGGACACAATAGCTTTATAAATGAGTTTAATCCTGTAGTTTTTAAAAAACTTCCAATAATGTATCTTCTAGGTCTAGGGGAACAATATGCTAGATAGCCATATAGCTGGGAATCTGTGAAGGACTCACTGGTGCCTTTTTGAAGGGGCTTTACATTCATTAATTCACTTTAACCTTTGAGCAGTTTTAACTGCTTGGTAACAAGTATTTGGCTGCCAAGAAATTTCTACCAATTTTAGGCAGGACCTGCCAATAAATGTCTTTGTATAAATTAATTGTAAGACTAATTAGTGAGATTATATATAGTTTATCTTATAATAAACTTCTAAGTAAAATATTTGCTCTTTTACTATTTTTTCTATACCAACGAATTATTTTTCTTTTCAAAGTTATTTTACATTTAATTCCAACAACCTATCAATTAATAATTGAGTTAATTGGCTTACCAACAAATCATTCAATTGATATATTTGGTAGGCAAAATGATTACCAAGTATTATTCCAAGAGCCAGGGCAAAAAGAAAAAAAGAAAAGAAAAAAAAAGCCAGGGCTGTGGAAGGATAACACTAATAGGACATGCCACTTAGGCCCCAGTCCCACCGTGACCTGTAACAAATTACATGTATGGTTAGGGGTAATGGTTTGCTTTTTCTTGCTCTTATGGGCCAAACTGTAGTAGTACGAATTTTCATCTAAGGACTAACTAACTAGTATAGGAAGGAAAAGTCAGGATCTAACTATCTAGGGTAGACTGTTGTTCTCCCTTGACCCTTACTTGAGACTTTTCTTAATACATTTCAAATTTTCAGGTTTGGTAGCATAAGGTCCTACACTATATAATTCTAGCCACTATATGTGCGCTGTACCACACACTATTTATAGGGAGTCCACAGAAGAGAAAAAATTACTTCCCTTCTAAATAGATATAGTAGGGCATTTGAAAAACAATGTAAATCTATAGCACATAGATTTATATGTATAACTCAGAAAAAAAGCAAGTAGAGAAGAGGAAAAAATCAAGTATATATAAAGGCGGTGATTACAGCATTTTCTCACAGAGCTTATGTATAGAAGACATATCCAAACTGTACCCACTAATATAAGCATTTGGCTATAACATTTTCCAAATAGTACTTGTTAGGAATATCAGCAAGCCCTACTAACATTACCCATTAATATTCCAGAGAACCAGTTTGAGAAAGAGAGAGCATTCTTGTTTCTATAGAGCATGAAACCCAACTTCACAAAGACAGCATAGAATGTAAAGAACTTATTTTCCACATTGAGAGGGCATATTGCTACTGCTCTCTCAAAGCTCAGTTGGTTGGAATGTTGTCCCATGCACCGGAAGGGACACACACCTAGGTTGTGGGGGGTGCATATGAGAGGCAACCGATCAGCGTTTCTCTCTCATATAGATGTTTCTCTTTTTCTCACTCTCCCTTTTTTCTCTGCATTCAATCATAGCATATTTATATATTAAAATTATTAACTTCCAGATAAAGCTGAAGGTTAACTGAGTAACAAGTTGATCAACAGGTAGCTTCAAACTCAGTAAAGAATGAATAACCACTGGTTTATAAAGAAAGATAACTAGATGTTTTAGAAGCACACAAATTTTAGTTTAACCAATTGTGGCCTCCTTTAATCCTCATTTGAGTTATTTAATACTTATTATAAAGTATCTAGTATTTCTAGTACCTAATATAAAACACATTTTCATATATTCTGAAATTTATATATTCTTAACACACTAAAAAGACAAAGGCTCTTCAGTACTAATAAATGATGTTAGCCACCCATGGAAAGTAACTACCACAGACACACAATCACAGTTACTTGGACTCACCTTCATCTCGAGTGTACTCTTCCCCTGAATGAGGTTCAAACAAATAGTCACCAGTGGCCAGTTCAAAGGCCTAAAAAAAAGAGGACAGTGTATAAAAACATTAAGAAAAAAAAAAAAAAAGATCTTTGGGAAGCTTATTTTTATTTGGCTCAATGTTAAGTAACCTGCAGATAATCATTTAAAAAACATTTAAGAGATTATTCCTCAAAAGCTTTCCTCCTACACCCATATCTTAATAAAATGGAGCAGGAAAATAGTGAAAACTCAGTTAATATCAACATGTAGATTATTTCACGTCCTACCCACCTCCCGCCCGCCAAATCAGTAATTAAGCTCTCAAGTTTCTTTTTTTGCTCAGAGGGGGCACATCTGGACAGTAAGGTGATTTTTTATTAAATTTTCGTGAGCAGAGTAAGTCTTGCATTATAATTTTACATGGCTAGAAATTGAGATTCTGTATCCAAAACTGAAACAAAAAAATTCAGACATTTTTCTACCTATGACTCTTTAGTGTTTGGCAAAAAGTACATTTTAAAGCTTTGCTTTGGAAAGCACTCCCTAACCTATCCCAGATAAGAGTTCCCAATTCTTAGTCCCAGGAAAAAATCAGAAAAAGATTATGTGTAAATGGAATCAGGAGCAACTCATAATCTGTGTCACCACAGGAAAAGAAGGGCAGTCTCCTACTACAAGACAACCTCTTACAGATGGTGTTTAAAGAGTATCGACAGAAAGGGATTTCCTATGGAATAAATGCCAAGCAGTATGAAGACAGCATCTGAGTAAGGGGCTATATTAAATTTTCAATGATTAAAATGGATTAAAAAAATAATAGAACCTTATTGATATAAAAGTGAAGTCAGCCCAGCTGGCCTGGCTCAGTGGTTGAGCATTGACCTATGAAGCAGGGAGGTCATGTGATTCTGGTCAGGGCACATTCCCGGGTTGTGGGCTTGATCCCCAGTGTGGAGTGTGCAGGAAGCAGCCAATGAATGATACTCTCTTATCATTGATGTTTCTATCACTCTCTCCCTTCCTCAAAATCAATAAAAACGTGTATTAAAAATAATAAAAGTGAAGGAAAAAAGTTAAGTGCTAACCGTGGGTCAACTTTGATCGAATCAATGGCACTAAGTAGTTCAGTCAATCTCAAAGACTGTGGGGTGGATTTAGTTGGGGCATATTCTCAATTGAGACTCAGGTTTAGTTCTCAGTGGTTTGCTCGTGTCAGATTTTGCAGTTTCAGGATAAGACAGACTTTCTTGAAACAGCATTCTTGGGCTGTACCACCGCCCAGAGAAAGGCCACAAAACCGGAAGGTTTAGGATTCCCTCTAAAATGTCAGGATGCTGTGGCTTCTGGCCAGGGATAGCTGGTTCATCTTCCAGCAGCTCACTATGAAACTCAGCCACACTGACAGGGCAGCTGCTGGTGCTCCCCTCTCATTGCCCTGAGGTTTATAGTCCCAAAGCAGAACAGAAACCAACTGTGATTCTTATTCACCAAAATTTGTTAATCTCTTCTGAAACCAGTACCTTAATTTTTCAAATCCCATAATATTTTTTTAATTTCAATATCAGTAAAGATATTGAAATTTAAAAAAATATTTAAAAAATTCTCACACAAAAAATATTAAAAAATTCTAAAACTTAAATATTATTTTTAAAAAAATCTAGATACTTACATCTAGTTAAAGTTCTCTAAGAGTTTTATTTTCTAAATATAAGGTAGGATTTATTATTCTCTGATTATGGCCAAACTTTAGGCAACATTTCTATACCTATCAGCAAAATGAGAAGCTTGAGGTACAAGTTCTCATGATACTGTCTCATGTCAAGTAAGTGCTTCCCTCCCTGATCAAGAAAATTCTTGCATGTGAGCTGGTCCAAACAGGAGGAAAGGTTAATTCCTCTTTTATTTCTTCCCCCTACCCTCCACCCACTTCTTAAGCCTAACATAGTAAATACTATGTTAAATAGCAAACAGGATCCACTGACCTCAAATAATTAGCCCACTACTAAGAACCATTTATTATCATAATAAACAGATACCATCTAGCTATATTTTGTAGTTGGTGATATTGCTCATTTATTTTGTCTAACAATAAATTTAAAGCTTCAAGGCAGAGGTGGGAACCTTTTTTATGCCAAGGGCCATTTGGATATTTATGACATCATTTGTGGGCCATACAAAATTAACAGCTTAAAAATTAGCCTGCTGCTTGTTGAGCACTGACCCATGAACCAAGAGGTCATCGGTTTGATTCCTGGTCAGGGCACACGCATGGGTTGTGGGCTCGATCCCCAGTGGGTGGCGTTCAGGAGGCAGCTGCTCAATGATGTTTCCCTCTCTCTATCCTTCTTTCCTCCCTAAAAATGAATACAGGTTTTAAAAAAGTTAGCCTGCTGTACTTGGTCAAACATTTAATTAACTCACCCCAAATGCCTTGGGCAGGGCCAGACCAAATGATTTCACCGGCTTTCTAGAGCCTGCAGGCTGGACATTCCCCACCCCTACTTTAGGTATGGCAAAAGAAGTCAGATTTTGTGTGTAAAATACCAAACCTTACTTCATTTCAGAGTCCTCCACTTCAAAAATCAACGATAAGTCCCAACAAATTATTTATAAAGTCATGTCATATTAACAATATGGTTTTAACGCTGTTACCTTTGGAAGACAGCTTTTCAGAGAGTGGGTGTCAAGAAATCTACGACTAAAACAGGTGGAGATTTATGCTCTGTACTTTCTCTTTTAAGTTTTCTAGAGTTGACTGTGAATACTAAATGTTCATTAAAATGAGTTTAATGTATTTCTTGCTTAGTTCAACACATCTGATAGTCCACAAATATCTATTAAGTACTGTTGCATAATAAATAATTTGCTTGGTCTTTGTTCCTATTTCCTGAGAGAGAGCCTCTAAACTGTTGGAATTTCCAAGTGATCAGGGTGTTTTTGTTATTCATAATGGAATACTGGGCCACACTCAAATTTATACAAATGAGGTGACTTATGATGAGCCTGAGTTCTGTGAGTCATTCTAGTGAACTATCGAATCTGAAATGATAGTGGAATCCCCCAATGTGTAACCAGTTGGCCCAAAGTACAGGTAGCTTATGGGCCTCAGAGGCAGTCATGAGGGAAACTATGCCCTTAACTTGTGAAATCTCTGACAATTCTAGGTATTTAGCATCAGAAATGCATTGTAAACACACACTCAAAAAAGGCCAGAGCCTTAACCAGACCCTTGCTATATATACATAACACACATGACTCCTGTCAGCATGGCTCTTATAACCTAATGGAAGAGAAACAAGCAAATAAAACACGTAATTACAAGTAAAGAGTATACTACATTTCAGGAAGCATATAACACATTTGAACACAATTTAATTGCTACCAACTGATTTCCCACAAGCAGCCTCATGTTGTGGGGCTGCTTGTGGGAAATCATTTAGAAGCAATTAAATCTAACCATTGAATAGTTGCTTGCCTGGAACAAAGCAGTAACTTATGAATGATTGAGTTTTCATTTTATAAAGTGCAAAGATGTCAGAGTAACTGTCGAACTTTACAGAATGAAAGTTTCCAGGGGTTTCCTTAATCAGAAAATACTATCAGAGTCAAAAGGGGAAGGGTACCTGTAACAGCCTAAACAAAAGCCACACTTCCTCAGAGTGGTTGTTTACAATCCACCTGGACCCACTCCAACTTCAGTAAGAAACATTTGGTTCCTCACCTAACAGGAATTTGGCAGGAACCAGATGGAAAGCTAGATGTTTACATTCAGCTTTTGAATTCAGACCTCTCCAGACACAGGATTTAGGGTACTAGTGATAAGCCATACAAAAAAATACCTTTTCACTTTCTTAATTTGCTGGCCTACTGAAATGAGCAAACAGGACAAGGCATGTAATCACCAATAACAAGTGAAGGACAGGGAAAAACATTACCATGCATGCTGTGCTCCAAATGTCGGCAGGGGTGCTATAGCCCGATCCTATCAGAACTTCCAAGGAACGATATTGCCTTGTCTGAATATCTTCAGTGAAATGTTTATGCTGAGTAAATGCAGAAGAAGAGAGTATTTTAAAATTCATTTATTCTAAAAAGTAACAAGTCATGATTGCTTAATAATGAAGATTAAAATAGTCTAACTTTTTCCTAAACCAAAGTTTTTATTTTATGTTTAGTATGTGTTAAATATCATTTTGACACTATTACCTCTAAAGAGCACTTTGCTTCACAGTCTACTCTGAATTATTTTGCAAACGTATGAATCTAAACTTTATATACACAGGTTAGAAAATAACAATTTATTTTTAAGATATAGGTTTCAAATTTCAAGAATCTTAAAATAGCACCTATGAAGAATTCCTGAGAGTGACATAGCATCATGGCAGAGGGAGACATACCCTTGGTCTTCCCCCTTCAATGTACAATGACTGGAATACTGATCAGCACACTAGGATGTGTAAAGATCCACACATCTGTACATCTGAGGCAGGTGGATTGGAATGCAAGGAAAGGTAGACTTAAAGGACCAGCAGGGGAAAGAAAGAATGGCAGCAACATTGGCACAAGCAACTCTGGTTCTGTCCCTGGCTAGAGCAGTGCCTGTGAGCCCGGCTCCCCTGCCATGGTGGCGGCATCCGAGACCCAGACAACGTTGGGCCCAGGGAGGCACATATCATCTGGTGACTCCAGCGAAAACTGGGGCTGCAGCAACACTGGAAGGCACCAGTGACCCCGGAGGCACAAGCACTACAAAGAGAGCACCTGTGACGTCTCTGGCAGCAGCTGTGGAAGGTAGAAAATACTAACTCTCGGGCTGGTTAGAAGGGGTCGATGGGTAGGGTGGGGTAGGGAGGAGGCATATGTAATACTTTCAACAATAAAAAAGAAAGAAAGAAAAAATGCTAGCTGTCAAATATGCCCAGAGTAAGAGAAACCAAAAACTTGTTCTATAGTGCCATCTATTGGAAAACAAGAGGCCTCTTAAACACCAACTTGTTGAATTGTTCAAATTAAACAAAGTTGTACCTAAGCAAGGAAAGTGTTCACTACTTCAAATGTGCCAGCAGAGGAATCAAGCACCATGGATAATCACAGTAACATAGTAGAACAAAAATAAAATGTTTTTTTTCCAGCAACCGAACTAAGAGTCATGGAAGACTAATCTAAATGACACAAAATTCAAAACAGCTGTCATAAAAGAAAATTTAACAAGATACAAGAAAACTCAGAAAGGCAGTCCAATAAGCTCAAGAATAAAATTACTGAACAAAAGGAGTGCTGTACAAAAGATATGCAAACTCTTTAAAAAATATATATTTTATTGATTTTTTTTTTTTTTTTACAGAGAGGGAGAGGGATAGAGAGCTAGAAACATGGATCACCTGCCTCCTGCATGCCCCCTACTGGGGATGTGCCTGTAACTAAGGTACATGCCTCTGACTGGAATTGAACTCTTCAGTCCGCAGGCCGATGCTCTCTCCACTGAGCCAAACTGGTTAGGGCAATATTGAAACTCTTGATGCAGGGGGAAGAACAGAGAGAACTAAGATTAAAAAAGACATGCAACTCTATGAGAACTACCCCACTCCATCAGAAAGGGCAACGTAAGAATAATGGGTATCCCAAAAAGGAGAAGTGATGGAGAAGGGGACAGAGAACCTACTTAAAGTAATAGATGAGAAGTTCCCAAACCTGGATGAGTTGGACATAAGGAAGGTCAAAGACGACCTAATTCTCTCAATACAAAGAGACATTCTCTAAGACACATGATCTTAAACTGTCAAGGAACCCCTCAGGCTGAGTGGAAGGACATGTAGAAAATACTAAAAGATTAAAACTGTCAGCCACGCCCTGGCCAGGTGGCTCAAATTGATTGTAGTGTTGTCCCAGTACACCAAAAAGCTTGCAGGTTCCATTCCTGTCTGGTTGATGTTTGATGTTTCTCTCTCACATTGATGTTTCTGTCTCTTTCTCTCAAATCAATTAAAAACAAAACAAATTTTATGGTGAGGATGAAAACAACAACAAACTGCCAGGTAGGAATAATTTATGGAGTTAAGTTATCCTTCAGATATGAAGGAGAAATGCTTTCCAAGACAAAACGAAAGCTGAGGGAATTCATCACCGTAAGACTTGTCGGACAAAAAATGCTGAAAGGAGCCCTTTTGGAAACAAAATGGCAAAGGCACACAAAACATTAAGTAAGGTGACAAGCAAAAAAAATTGCAACTCCATTACAAAATACAGTATAAAGCACTTAGAGCAGTGGTTCCCAACCCTTTTTTGGCCATGCCCTACCTAAGCATCTCTAAAACCTGATGCCCCCTCTGTGACATAGAATTCTTACTATTCAAAAAGTGAACTATTCACGTGGAGGAAGCCTAAAACGCCATTAACTCATTCTAAACAAGCTTCCAAAGAGCATGGCATCCATGACAGAGAAAAAAACCCGAAAGGTGAAGTACTGAGAAAAAAATCACTAAGAAATTGTCAAAAAAATAATAACATGAAGTGATATGAGAAAACAGCAAATAAAGTTTCAAAACATAATAGAGAATTGAAATGCATAAATGTCACAATATATATTTATATACTGTATATGAAGCCCCCAGAACCATAAAAAATGCAAAACATTCACTGTTCATAACTCATTCTCGCCCTTGCTGGTTTGAAGGGTCCTGAGTTGATTCCGGTAAAGGGCACATGCTTGGTTTGCGGGCTCAATCCCCAATAGGTGTTGGAGTGTCCAGAAGGCAGCCGATCAACGATTCTTTCATCATTGATGTTTCTATTTCTCTCCCTTCCCTTCCTCTCTGAAATAAATAAATATATATTAAAAAAAAAACAAAACCACCACCAACTTATCCTCTAATTGCCCCCCTGTGTGCCCCACATTGGGAATACTGAGTTAGAGCATAATGGTTAAAGGGGAAAGAAAGCATTAAAAATAATAGCTACTTAAATTTGGTAATGAACACATAGCATAATAAATAATTTATCAGTAAGTTCTCAAATATCATTAATCACCTTACATGTAAATAGACTGAACTCACCATTCAAAAGACACACAGTAACTTGATGGATTAAAAATCAAGACTCAACTATAGGCTGCCTTTTCAGAAGACTCATCTCAGTTCCAAAGATAAACAAAGGCTCAAAGCAAAGGGGTGAAAAGTGACATTCCAAGCAAATGGATCCAAAGAAAGCGGGTATAGCCACCATTATATCAAATTAGATTTCAAGCCACAAAAAAGTAATGAGATAAAAGAAATGCACATTACATAATGATACAGGAGACACTCCAATAAAAGGACAACATTTACTTATATGTACCAAACTCAGGGACGCTAAAATATATAAAGCAATATTAACAGACCTAAAAGAGAGAAACTGACGAACACAATAGAGCAGTGGTCGCCAGCTGCTGGTGTGCGAGGTCCGAAGGCTGGCGGCCGCTGCAATGGAGGTAGGAGACTTCCACACCCGCTTCCACCAATGGCAGAGCATCAGACAGCAAGCCAGTGAAGAAACACTGACCTTACTAGCAAATGACACATCAAATCAAATGGACATAACATACACACAGAACATTCCCAAACCAACAATACACATTTTTCAAGTGCACATAGAACATTTCCAAGGAGAAACATAAACAAGTCTTAATAAATTCAAGACTGACATCTTATTAAGTATCGTTTCTGAATACAATGATATGAAACTAAAATTAATAAGAAGCTAAAAAAAAAATCACAAATATGTGAAGATTAGTAAACAATATTCTATTCAACAACTTTGGGGCAACTCAAGAATCAAAGGAGAAATCACAAAAAAACATGGAGACAAATGAAAATACGATGTCCTAAAATCTATGGAATATGCTGCGATGGAAATATATGAAGAGGAAGTTTACAGAAATACAGGAATACTGTGAATATGGTGTGGGTTTGATTCCAGACCACAATAAAGCAAGTTGTAACCTTTTTGAAGATGACATGTCTTGTCTTCAATTTGTAAAATATAACATTTGTGAAGCTCAATAAAATGAAGTATACCTATACATACATGTCTAACTCAAGAAATAAAAATCTCAAATAAATATTCTAACCTTATATCTAAAGGAATAAAGTCAGTAGAAGAAAATAATGAAAATTATTGAAGAAATAAATCAAATAGAAATTAAAAAGACAATAGAAAATATAAATGAAGCTGAAACCGGTTTGGCTCAGTGGTAGAGCATCTGTCTGCGGACTGAAAGGTCTCAGGTTTGATTCCGGTCAAGGGCATGTACATAGGTTGTGGGCACATTCCCGGTAGGGAGTGTGCAAGAGGCAGCTGGTTGATGTTTCTCATCGACATTTCTAGCTCTCTATCCCTCTCTCCTCTTCTCTGTAAAAAAATCAATATATTAAAAAAAAGAAAAGAAAAAGAAAATATAAATGAAATTAAGAGCTGGTTCTCTTAGCTAGACTCATTAAAAATATTCAAAAAAAATTAAAAAATAAATAAAAGAAACGTTACAATGAATACGAGAGTAATACAAAGGATCATGAAAAACTATATTCCATTAAATGAACAACCTAGAAGAAATGGATAAATTCTTAGATCATACAACCTTCCTAGACTGAATTATGAATAGAAAATCTGAAAGACCAACCACTAATAAGGAATTTAAACAGCAATAAAAAAAAACTCCCCCCAAAACTTAAGGACAACATGGCATATAGTAAATTCCACCAACATTCAAAGGTTTATTATCTATTATTCTCAAACTCTTCCACAAAACTGAAGGAGAGAGAAGGCTTCCTATTAATACCTCATGTTACAAGGCCAATATTACCTTGTTACCAAAACATGACGAGGACAACACAAAGGAAGAAATTACAGGCCAATAACTCTGAACGTAGATCCTCAACAAAATACAAGCAAATTGCATATAATACATTAAGAAGATCTTTGAAGTATGGATGAAGATGGGATTCAATACAGGAATATCTCTTTAAAACACCTTTTAAAGAAACAGAGCTGCAGAACACAGGGCTTGATAAAGTCTAACAGCTCTTAGAGCACACAGATCATCTGGAGGTTTTCTCAGGACTGGGCACAACAGGGGCTCCGGAGATGCTCCGCACAGCTGAGGAGAGAGTACCATTCTCAAGCAGGGAAATTAAATGACTGTAATTGTATGGTGAGCCCGTTTTTTGCTTAACTCAGCTCCTAGAATGCTAGTAGCCAGGCATTTACTCTCTGGGTAAATCTTAGGAAGACCAAGTTTCTGGGTGAAATACGACCAATTTAAGAGGAAAGATCCAGAGATCCTGACATCTGAGGATGAAAAGAAATGACCTGACAAATGTACAAACTGCCACTTATAAAAACACTCACAGGATGTAAAGTTCAGCATAGGGAATACAGTCGATAATATTGTAATAACTATGTATGGTGCTAGGTGGGTACTAGACTTATCAGAGTGACCATTTTGTAAGTTATATAAATGCCCAATCACTATTGTTGTACACCTGAAACTAACATAATCTTGTATGTCAACTGTAATTGGGGGGGGAAAAAAAAGAAAAAAAAAAAAAAGAGCCCAGACTAGTGGTTGGCAAACTGCAGCTCACGAACCACATGTGGCTCTTTGGCCCCTTGAGTGTGGCTCTTCCACAAAATACCACAGCCTGGGCGAGTCTAGTTTGAAGAAGTGGAATTAGAAGTTTAATTTAAAATAATTTGACTCTCAAAAGAAATTTCAAACGTTGTACTGTTGATATTTGGCTCTGCTGACTAATGAGTTTGCCGACCGCTGGCCCAGACAGATCATTCCACAGTGAATAACAGTCAGCGAGATCCACCCAGGCAGAGCTTCCAAAGGCTTTCTAGTTACTCCATTCATATGGTTCACAACAGAAAGAAGGCAACGTTTTATAGGAATGAAATGTCAAAATTGGGAAAATGATAATATCCTCTGTAAGTTAGATAATACTTAGATAAGGCGGCTTCTTGAGAACAAGTTAAAAAATCTTCCAGAAGAGCGGCAGGCTCCTCCACGCTCCTGAAGCCTTGGGTGCGGAGGGCCGCACGGGACCGGCGGAGACTGCACTGGACACCAGGAATTCACTGTCACCACTCCTGGAGGCCAAGCCCGGGCAGCTAACCCTGAAGCAGCCCTCAGGATCTCTAGTCTCGGCCCCACAAGCCATCCCTGGCCTAGGCCGGGGTCTGGGCTAACACTGCTCTCCCTGGGACCTGAAAAATGGCGTCTGGGCAAGGACCCAGCCCTCCCAGGCATGGGTGTGAAGGGCCTGCCCTGTCCTCTACTTTGGAGGAGCAGGTAGCCCGGGACACAGGAGTTTTTTACCGCCATCAGCAGGAGCAGGAAGCTGAGGGAGTGGCTTGTCCCCAGAGCTTGCCAACTCCGTGGGGCAGGGGGGTCGGCAGCTCACCATTATCGGGAACCCCATCAACCAGTGCTACGACCCGGAGTTTCACCAAGTTGCAGCACCTGCAGCTGACACCAAGATTGCATCCAGCCTATTTAGAGCGGCATCACCTGGGGCCGGGTGATGGTTCTCTTGGGCTTCGGCTACCGCCTGGCCCTCTACATCTACCAACGAGGCCTGACAGGCTTCCGGGGCCAGGTGACCTGCTCCGTGGCCGACTTCATCCTGCATCACTGCATCGCCCGGTGGACCGTGCAGCGGGGCGGCTGGGTGGCAGCCCTGGACCTGGGCGACAGCCCCATCCGGAACGTGCTGGTGGTCCTGGCCGTGGTTCTGTTGGGCCAGTTTGTGGTACGAAAATTCTTCCAGTCATGACCCCGGGAGGGTCCTTTGGGGTCCCTGCCGAGACCCCCGCCTGGACTTCGGCCAAGCCTTCTTCCCCGGCAAGGGTCCCCGTCACGGGTACAGAACCTTTAGAAGTGACACCCCAGCTTTGAAGGGCCCCTGCCCGGGGTCGGTCAGGCTGCAGGGGCACCCCAACATTGCATGGTGCTAGTGGACCCCCTCTCTGCCGGGCTTTCGGGAGGTTGATAACTTGGGGAAGCAAGAAGCTTTCCCCAAGAAGTTTTGAATGGTTTTAGCTTTTTATAATGCCCTTAGGACACCCCCACCCTCATCCCCACCACTTTGCCGGAGCCAGGACCTGGGACGGGGTTAGCAGGCCTCTCCTATGTCCCAGTTCAGCTGTTCCGGAAGGTCAGAGCTCGAGAGCTGGCCTGGAGCCCAGTCCTGGCCTTTCCAAAGCACCCTGTCCCCAACAGGCTGGCCGGATTGGGGGACAAGGACCGACTGAACTTCCCTGCCCCACCTGTACTGCCTCTGCCAGCGGACTCTCAGGGATCAGGGCCGGGGGTGTGGGTGAGGACGCAGCTGAGCTGTCTGATGTTATCCACCAGGTCCCTCCCACCTGCCTCCCGAGGCCCTCAGTCCGCTCCCTTCCCCTCACCACTCGCCTGAGGCGTCACTGCTTGTGAGGCTGCCTGCCCCGTCACTGCAAATCCGGGGTCAGAGGCCTCCTCCGGGCTGTAGGGTTGACTGTGGTTTGTGATGGTCAGGGAAGGGGCAGGAGCTCACCTTGAGGTTTCTGAGAAGGGCTGTTAACATCCCAGAAGCCCCGAGGCTGGATCTGCTCCATGGCCTGGGAACAGTGTAGTCTGGGAGGGAGAACTGAATGCTTAAACTTGACCCCAAGCCCACCATCTGCCTGAGCCCCTCCTGGAGGTGGGGGAACGAGGGGAGGCTTGTCTATCTTATACAGCCTGGGGGTTTGGGAAGAGAAGTGGTTGATTTAACCAAATGCAGGGAGGACATGCAGACGGAGTGCCCCCTGGCCACCCTCCCTCTGAGAGTGTTGGACAATAAACTGCCACCCCTCCCACTGGGAAAAAAAAATCTTCCAGAAAAGAAAACAATAGAAAATAGGAGAGAAACGTCCAAAATGAGCGCATCTGCATAGGAGGTCTAACGTTTGAATAATGCGACCTCAGAGCTAGAACAGAGACCAAGGAGAAGAGAATTAGAAAGTAAATAAATAAATAAGAAAATAAAACCAAGGAACTGGAATTTCACTCGAGTCCACAGCACAATGGATGGAAACAGAGCCAGTGAGGCACATGCTGTGAAGTGACATCCCACAGTCTTCCCTGCAGGAGGGCTTCGTACACAGGGTCAGGAATCGGAATGGCATTGATCTTTAGCAGCAACAAGATAGAAAACCAAAAGACAAGAATGGGGCAATTATAAGCACACTGAGGGAAAATGACTTTCAACCTAGAATTTGATGCCTGTAAAAGCAGAATAAAAACATTATCAGACACACAAGGCTCCCCTCTGTCTGCTCAATCTCACACACCCTTTCTTAGGAAGTTACTGAAGTTGTATGTACTAAAAAAACCGAAACAGGAACAAAACCAACAAAGACCAGAGACAGAAAAAGGGAAAGTAGACTGTAATTCCCAAGTTGACAGTAAAGGATCCCAAATGGCAGAAATGCAGCAGGCCGAAAGGGCAATCCAAAGGATGAACACCGACAGAAGACTCCAGGTTCCAGGATAGAGATTTTTAGGGGAAAAGGTGAAAGAATACACTTTTTATGTTAAAGAGTAAGTATTCACACCACTGGGCGAAAATGTGGGGCTGAATTTAGCGATAAGTGTACAAAGACGTCTAAGCATGAAACAGTGCTGGGCAGAAAAGGAATCCTAACACAGTACATGCTCAGTTCAGCTAAAGAGTCCTAATAATATAAACAAAGAATAAATACCTAGCCAAAAATCATATTACATTAAGAAGACTGGGGATGGGTGCAGTGGTGGTAACTTAGTCCTACTTTTCAGGAGGAAGAATTGAAAAAAAAAGAAAAAAAAGAATTGGGAGTAATATAGTCAAGTTACTTATTAGTGACATGAAGGTAAGTACTGATGTGTGGAGATTAAAAATTGCCAAAGGGAGTAGAGACTCTGCCCTTAAAAATCAAGCTATTTGAAAACCCCAAATGTGGATGAAAAGAGATTCCATACTAAATCTGACAAGTCCAGTGACCGAAAATAACCTCACAGGGTGATCTGTTAATAAATGCCTAACTGGGAAGGATTGTTTCATTATTATCGTTCTCTCTACTTTAATAAATATATTTGAAATTTCCTATTAAGAAGTGAAAAAATGGTCACTAAAATGTTAACTGGCAGTCTGGGTATAGAATTGAAGATGTTTTCTTCTGTTAGCAGAGCTACATTCAAATCTCATTCATTATTTGTTGCTTTAAAACAAAGCACTAAGACTAGTTTAACTTACCACCCAACAGGCATTTCCAAGATCAGCAATCTTCACTTGGAGCTTCTCTGCATTCTTTGGCTCGAGGGGATTAACAAGAAAATTTCCAGCAGTAGATTTTCCTATAGACAACAGGCATCATCAATAAGACTGTTCAATGTTAGTAAAACTCTGAGGTAACACACCCAGGCCCCCAATTGGCAACTTACAACAACCTTTCTAAGACAAAAGGAGGATAGCAACACTTTGAGTTTCCAGACTTAAAACCTTTACCTTCTTGGTTGTGCACCCATTACACAGCCAGTAAAATTCAGTTACCTTCACACTTACACCTTTAAGGTCACCTGGACACCTGCTGTAAAGCTTTATTAACAAAAACCAGGGTACTTTTAGTTTAGAAATTCATGACTACGTATGCAGGGAAGAAGTATTGGGGAAATATGTCTGCATAGGTACCTTTGCTGTCCAGTGGTCCATTACGTTCTTGGTCTTGTTCATCTTCACAAGGTATCTCTGCCCGAATACTTTCTTGAAGTTGGCTGATGTCCTGTTCACTGAGTGACTGGTCTACATTTGATAAAGATTGAGACAACACAGTATCTGACACCTCAGAGGTTACAGGTGTACCAGAGTCTGTTTCTTGAGATGTGCTGCTGTCTCCATTTTGGGAGCTTAGGAAACTAGTTTCCTGCTTCAAATTTTGAACATCAGCGTCATTAGCATTATGTAGGTCGTCTTTAAGCCTCAGTGTTTCTTTATTACTGTCCTCAGTATAATTAACGATTTCAATTACTCCATTGCAATTAATTTCTGCTGTACCACCCTCTACACCACGTTCCACAAGTGTATGATCCTGGTCAACGGTACTTGACTCTTCTAAGGAACAAACAGACAAAAAAGGATGTATGTGTATGCGTAGGAGTGAAAGAACAGAAAAAATCCTCCATGAGATTAAAATATTTACACATAAAAACACAATCAAACAACTTAAACCTACTTATAGAAGGACAAAGATCTTCTAATCCTTACCCAACTGCTAAATGAAGTCTATGTTGCATTTTCTGAGAAAAGTTAGAAATTACATTCGAATATCACCTGCCTAACATTTATGACAAACTCTGTATTCTTATTCTGTCCTTACTGAATAAGGACACCCCCAAAGATGTGCTGTATGCATGAAATCATTACATATAACAATGATAATGTTAAACTTTGCTATAAAGTAATTTTTGTGACGCTCTATTTATACCAAGTTTTTCTTGGGTCATTTTATTAGGTGGGTTCTCTTTCAAGGGTCTTTCAACAGGACTCTCTGATTCTTCTTGCTTGTTTGGTCTTTTTTGCCCAGGGCCCGACTCTTTCTCCATTTCCTCAATTTCCTGCATTCGCTTCTCTAGTAATTCTGCCTGGCGCTTCTGCTTCTTCTTCAATTTCTTCTTCTTATTCTTTGACATTTTGTCAGCCTGGGCGGAGATTACAAACAGATAAAGCCTTCAGGTGGCTAATCCATTACCTCTAGTTGGAGATAACTGTTAACTTTAATTACTTCCTAATCAAATGTCACCCTTTCCCTGACATTTTTCATTAACTTCAATAAAGTATATACTCTTATCAAATCAAATAAAAACAAAATTAACAACAAATCTTGGTCCTTTGAGCAGGCTATGGGGCTGGTATACTTTCAGACACACTCCATTTTATAGATACCACACTAGTATCAACTTGCCAAAGATGCTTGGAATTTATTGCAGAAAATTATAAAAGTGCAGGAATATTTCTTCCTTTGTTTTTCAAATTCTAAACAAACTGTCATCCATAACAGAAGAATCCCTGCCCCGTAGATCAGAATATAGAAACACCTTATACTTACTGGTTTAGGCTGGGGCGCAGTACTGACTGAAAAGAAAAGAAAACCAAGTGAGAATCCTGGCATTCAGCAAAAATAAAGTAATGCTCATATAAGATACCATACCAGAATGAAAAATCTCTCTTGTACAGTTTGTACTGTAGAGACAATTACTTAAGCAACTTTGGTAGAAACTTTTTTTTTTTTTTTTAAAGAAACTATACATATAAAAGTTGACTAACTTAAAATAAGTTTAAATAAATTCTTCAGATAGCATAAATGCAGAGCCAAGTCCCCATTCTGATTTCCACAATTAATGTACTAAAATCCCATATGATAGAAAACAACCCCTTCTTCTCTAGCCTGGATTGGCATCTAATTCTTCCCCTAACACTTGTCAGTTTTAAATGAAGAGTGTCATCAAGAGCCATACTAATTTGCTACATAGCATATGGTGGATATTAGTTTAGCTTAGATGAGGGGGAAAATCTTCAGTCTCCCTTTAAAATTTTTAAAAATTGTGGTAAAAATACAGAAAATTTCCCTCTTAATCAGTAGTATTAACTGTATTCACATTGTTGGGTAAAATTTCTATAACTTTTTCATTTTGGAAAAACACACATAAAACAAATGCTATGCTCATCAACACTACCCATTTCCCCCTTCTTGAGTTTTCCTTTTTAAAGGAAGCCTATGATACTTCCTTTCAAAGGAAGCCTAATAACTGATACTTTCAATTTGAAGATCAGGTAGTTCCTCAGCTCTGGCCAGTGTAACTCAGTTGGCTGGGCATCATCCTGTGCAAGGAAAGTTGCTGGTTCAGTTCACAACCCCAGGTTGAGGGCTCAATCCACAGTAGGGTGTGCACAGAAGACTGCTAGTCAACATTTCACTCTTGCATTGATGTTTCTCTCCCTATCCCTTCTTCCTTCTCTAAAAACTCAATGAAAAAAAATCTTTTTTAAAAAGATCCTAAAATATAAACTATTAAAATTCAAATCTGAACCTCAAATGGAAATAATTATTGTAATCACAGTAGCTAATATTTATTTAGCACATAATGCTATATAGCACAATGCCAACGGCTTTAACATGACACTTAATCCCAATAACTGTTGCATGAAAAAATAACAAAATCAAATGACTCGCCCAAGGTAGCCCAGCTGATGATAAAGCCAGGATTCAAAGTCTGTTTGCCCCAGTGCTTAAACTCAAAATCTTAATAGGTATTATCATGATCCTGCACAAATCACTGACCCATGAATGAGCATGGTAAGAGGTAAACACATCAAAAATAGCCATCAAATCGTGAGAAAATATTTTACCTGAAAAAGTTTTTACATATACAGTTGCCATAGGTTTTAACTGTGTGGCTTACTTGAGGATTTTTTTTCTCTTCCTAATGATTTTCTTAATAACATTTTCTTTTCTCTAGCTTACTTTTCTGTAAGACTTTAGTACATAAAATATAACATACAAGAAATGTGTTAATCAATTGTATGTTATTGGTAAGGCTTCTGGTCAAGAGTAGACTATTAGTAGTTAAGTTTTGGGGGAGTCAAAAGTGGTAAGCTGACAAGAAAATTAAAAAAAAAAATAATATATTTTTATTGATTTCAGAGAGAAAGAGAGAGGGAGAGAGAGATAGAAACATCCAAGATAAGAGAGAATCGTGAATCGGCTGCCTCCTGCACATCTCCTACTGGAGATCAAGCCTGCAACCCGGGCATGAGGCCTGACCAGGAATCGAACCAGTGACCTCCTGGTTCATAGGTTGATGCTCAACTACTGAGCCACACCAGTTGGGCAAGAAAAATTTTTTTTGAGGTGTCCTAAATTAAATAGCAGGCTGGAGGGTGAAAGGAAAAGATGAGAGGTTAATCTCTTTAACGACTGCAGGACAAAACCAACAAAGATTGATAACATTCTTGAATTTATGCTGAAATTTTCAATTAACATTCGGGGGAAAACAGCCTCATAGCTGACCACCAAGTGCCACTGCATCCTGCTTATGCAATGCATGATCTTCCCAGACTGTTGCACACAACCAATCTTAAAGAAGAAACACTTCTTACTTCGTACCTAGGTCCCTATCTCAGAACTAGCCCTTTACCTATAACCAAATTCTTTCAAAACAAGTTACCTCTTTCTTCCCCCTACACTGTCTATCTAAAAGAGCCACTGATCCCAGAAGGGTGGACATGCCGTCTTCTCCATGTAGCCATGCTGCTGGTGGTTTAGACAGCATGCTCCAGGACCCAGGCCTATTTCTGGCTAGCATGTGGCTCAATAAACCTTTCCTTTAGGAAAGCTTTTGGCTATGATTTAACAAAGCAAACTTTTTAATGCATGGGGGTCCATTGCTAAACTCCTCATTGTTCAAGGCTCAACTGTACAACATATATCAACATATATATATATATATATATATATACACACACACACACACACACACACACACACACACACACACACTCTTAAAATACACAGACTCTAGTATTCTTCCAATTATGGAAGAAATACCGAGAGTGAAAAAAGTCTTTTGGAAAACTGGGACTATTTTGTACACATAAGCACTTATTGTATCTTATTGTTAACTAGAGCCCCGGTGCATAAAATTCGCAGTGTGTGTGCACACACCCCTCTCCTCCAGCCCAGCCTGAGCCCTCTTGCAGTCCTGGAGCCCCGCAATCGATTACTCTGCAGAGGGAGGCCCCGCCCACCCGCCATAGGCCCTGGCTGGTGGCCTGGGTCTTCCTCTGCAGAATGATCTATCATGGAGCCCCCTAATCCATCACCCTGCACAGGGTGGCCTGGGCCTCCCTCTTTGGGGTGATTGTGGAGGCCTCTCCCACGCCCCCCCAATGAATTGCCCCGCTGGCCTGGGCCTCCCTTTGCGGTGCAATCGTGGAGTGATGGCACCCCCCTGCCCCCACCCCAAATAACTGCACCTGCCTTGGCCCGCCTGTGCCTGTCACAGCATGGTCGTCCTGCTGTTAGCCAATAGGTCAATTTGTACATTACACTTTTATTACTATAGATGAATGTGACTTACTTAACTGCCTAATAATAAAATAAAAATAGAAAATTGAATTAACTGCTAATGAGAGCAAAGTCCCCAAAACAAATCTACCTGCAGATCCGGAAGGTGGAGGAGCTCCAGACCGCTGCCATTCTGTGGCTTCTGCAGCCAGCCTCCGGATGTACTGCTCATTTACCGACAACAAGATGTTTTCTGGCTTAATGTCAGTGTGGATGATCCGGCACTTGCTGTGTAAATAATCCAGACCCTGTAACACCTGTGTGGGAACAGAGCAGGAGACTTGCAAACAAATGAAGGAAGAAATCACAATAACTTAAAAAAAAAATAAAACTATAAAAATGATGTGGTAGCTTTCCACAGAGAATAAGTATTTTTTTTAAAGCACAAAGATTGTGAATTATGAATGAAGGCAAGAGCTTAACTTATTTATAATAAAAAAGTTCTTTCAAGTTTTACGAAGTGAATTCTACTTGGAGATATTTTTAAGTACATTATAAAAACTGAGAAAAAAAATAGTACATATGCCCTTTAAATATTGAAATGTACTAGTAGGTGGTGAAAGAGATTTAGGTATCTTGCAATTCAAATTCCTTGTTGATGAAGAACTTTTGCTTCCTAGTGTGGAGCTCTTTCCACCAAAACACATGCTGTAAAAAATTATTTGCCCTTTGATGTATTAATACTTTCTTGGCAGTAAACTACTTTACTGAACACTGAAAGGTATTTATAATACTAGGAGATGCCCACAGACCTGGACAGTGTGGCTCAGTTGCTTGAGCATCATCCCATGCACCAAAAGGTTGCCAGTTTGATTCCCTGTCAGAACACATGCCCAAGGTTGCCAGGTCAATTCCCAGTAGGGGGCGTGCAGGAGGCAGCTCATACATGTTTCTCACATAGATGTTTCTCTCTCTCTCTAAGAAAAACCACAAAAAAAAAAATCAATAAAAACATTTTAAAAGTGCCCACGCACAATGTTATATAAGGAGATTGTAATGATTTGATCTGGCAACTCCTTTTTTGTTAATACTCACCTAAGGATATTTTCCCATTGATTTTCAGAAAGAGTGGAAAGGAGGGAGGGAGGGAAGGAAGGAGGGAGAGAAAGGGAAAGAGAGAGAAAAAAACATCAATGTGGAGAGACACATCGATCAGGTGCCTCCTGCACATGTCCAGACCAGGGCTGGAGATCAGACCGAGGTATGTGCCCTTAAATGGAATCAAACACGGGACCCTTCAGTCCGTGGGCTGACATTTTGTTTACTGAGCCAAACTGGCTAGGGCGACATAGCAATTCTTTATTACCATAGAATTAGTATTTGTAACCAGACTTCTGAATAAGGGCTCCAAATTTCCAAAAACCAGAAATTGCAGACAGATTCCACTCTAATAATTATTATAGAAAAATTTTTGTGTTGTTAATCCTCACCCAAGAATATTTTTCCATTGATTTTAGAGAATGGAAGGGGATGGGAGAGACAGGGAGAGAAAAACATTGATTGGTTGTCTCTTGCAGGCACCCCAACCAGGACTGAGGATTGAGCCTGCAATCAAGGTGCATGCCCTTGACTGGACTAGAACCCAGGACCCTTCAGTCTGTGGACTGACGCTCTATCCACTGAGCCAACTGGCCAGGGCTATGGAAAATGAACTGGGGGGAAATGGTTTTGATAAAATGTTTAACAACAGAATAAATATAGTGAACCCTGTGGATTGAATAAAACAATGTTAGCAATTTAAAAAGCCTACTTTTTAAAATAAAACCTCTATTGGAAATAGGAAACGCCTGACACTTTAAGAACATTAAAAAAAAAAAAATCACCACATAGAAAACACTAAGATACATACTTGCTGAATGATTTTTTTGACACAAGGCAGTGGAAGCCCTTGATAATTGGACTTGATGATCCACTTCAGCAGATGATGCCCCAAAACTTCAAACACCATGCAGATATCTAGAAGTTTATTAAGGAGGAAAAATGCATTCCAAGCCAATGAAATGTCACTGTATTATTCTTGCAGTATAAAAGATAAAAGAGCTTGACAAAAAATAAATATAACCATCAATATTCTGAAACTCCAAAGGTTGATCAATGCTTTACTGAAAACACCCAAGAAATAGAAAATTCCAGGTCTATTTATCAACAATATATATATTTTTTGCTTTAATTTTTTTTTTTTTTTTTTTTTTTTGCTTTACCTAGAAGATAAAGTACCAAGATTTAACCCCAAAAAATGCAAAAGTCAATATTTTAAATATCATAGGAAACTGACTTGCTTTACGCTCTGCAGTTTACAAACCTAGTCTCGGTTCCAGTGCCACCATGTTTTCTGTGTGTTTGAGCATCCTCATCATTGACACACAGAAGGAATACCGTCAGCCTGGTTGTATGCAGAGCACTGCAGCGATTTTAGGAGCAAAATGTTATCTTTTATCTCTAGAAGTTTCTATTATACATAATTTGGAAAATCAAAAACACACATTTTCCACTAAAGAAAACACTGGTTCCTTGAAGAAATGGCCAAATCCAGGATGAACCTGGACCATCTTGCTATGCGAACAGGAAAAATGTCAAGAATAAACAAATCAGGAGAAACCAAGATGGCGGCATAGATAAATATCTGAAATTGCTGCCTCACACAACCACTTCAAAACTACAATTAAGAGACAAAATGGACATCATCCAAAACCACAGGAAGGCTGGCTGAGTGGAAATTCTACAACTAGAAGAAAAGAGAAAAGCACACTGAGATTCAGAGGAGCTGAGGAAGTAAAGTGCAGAGGTACAGAGGCACGAGCGCGGAAAGGGCCAGCAAATGAGGATGTGGTTGTCTTTCTCAATCGGGAGGAAGACACAAGCTCCCGACTGCTCTAAACTCCAGTTCCAGGTGAGACTCTGGGGACCCAGACTCATATGGGGAGAAACTGGACCGGCTGCATTGGGTGGAACTCGAGGGTGGCTTTCTTTCAGAGGTGCTTGCAGCAATTACCGGGGGACACTGAGACCTGGGGGCTTCTTAGGGCAGGGCTGAGGATCAGCCACTGCTGTTCACTCTGCCTGTGGATTACCTGAGACCCCACCCCACCCAAGCTGTGGGCAAAGGCTTTTACATATGAATGGCCTGGCCCTTTGCAATCTAAAATTACCTAATAAACTGCAGCTAGGTCAGAGAGACCCAGAACATCCAAAATAGGGCCCAAGGCCCCGCAACAGCTGTGCACCTCCAATTCCCAAACAAAAAAGAGAAATCTGCAGATCTCCCCATAGATCCTGCTGGGTGGCCTAAGGCAGAGACTAAATTAGCACCTCCTTAGAAATCTAAGAGCCAGTGTACCCAGTGGTCAGAGTGGGACCATCCAGATTACAACTCCTCAGATCCATAGGGGGCAGACTCAGTGAGCACCAAAGCCCCACTGAAGCAAGCCTTGCCCAATTGGGTGACTCCAGCACAGAAGTTCTCCCATTTTAAACACAACTGATCATCACAGCCAATTGGCCTGGAGGTCAATACCTCCCAATAATACCAACAACAATCAAGGCTTAACTACAAGTTTGTGCACACAGCCCACAAAGGGGTGCACCAATAGAGTCCACCTCAGGTAACTGGAGAGGCTGAGCTACTGGGCCCGATAGGACACCTAGCACACAAAGCCACTCTACAACTCAGGGAAGCAGCCAAAATGCAGAAACAAATAAACAGGTCACAAATGACAGAAATGGAGGAAAGCAAACTATTGGATATAGAGTTCAAACCCAGGTTAGAAGGTTTTTCAAGAATTTTAAAGAAACTGCTGATCAATTTAGTGAGACCCTCAAGGATATGAAAAAGGACTAATTAGAAATTAAGCATACACTGTCTGAAATAAAGAATAATATACAGAGATCTAACAGCAGACTAGAGGATCCCAAGAATCAAGTCAAAGATTTGAAATACAAAGAAGCAAAAAACACCCAACCAGAAAAGCAAAAAGCAAAAAGAATTCAAATATATGAAGATAGTGTAAGGAACCTCTGGGACAACTTCAAGCATACCAATATCCAAATTATGGGGGTGCCAGAAGAAGAGAGCAAGATACTGAAAACCTATTTGAAAAAATGACAGAAAACTTCCCCCATCTGGTGAAATAGACATACTCTGTTTCCCTGAAAATAAGACAGTGTCTTATATTAATTTTTTCTCCCAAAGTTGTGCTAGGTCTTATTTTCAGGGGATGTCTTATCTTTCCACATGGTAAGTCTTATTTTCGGGGAAACACGGTAGAAGTCCAGGAAGCACAGAGAAATCCAAACAAAAGGAATCCAAAGAGGACCACACCAAGACACATCATAATTAAAATGCCAAGGGCAAAAAATAAAGAGAGAATCTTAAAAGCAGCAAGAGAAAAACAGTTACCTACAAAGGAGTACCCATACGATTGTTGGCTGATTTCTCAATAGAAGCTATATAGGCCAGAAGGGAGTGGCAAGAAATATTCAAAGTGACGAACAGCAAGAACCTACAATCAATGATAGCAAAGCTATCATTTAGAATTAAAGGTCAGCCAAAACCATTTGGCTCAGTGGACAGAGTGTTGGCCTGCGGACTGAAGGGTCCTGGGTTCGATTCTGGTCAAGGACATGTACGTTGGTTGTAGGCACATCCCCAGTAGGGGGTGTGCAAGAAGCAGCTGATCAATGATTTTCTTTCATTTTGATGTTTCCAACTCTCTATTTCTTCTCTCTTCTTCTCTGTGAAAAATCAGTAAAAATCTATTAAAAAAAAAAAGAATTGAAGGTCAGATAAAGAGCTTCACAGAAAAGAAAAAGCTAAAGGAGTTCATCATCACCAAACCATGATTATATGAAATGCTGAAGGGTATTCTTTAAGAAGACAATGAATAAGAAAAAGGTATATATAGAAATTATGAACAACCAAGTGACAACAAATACATATCTACAAGTGAATCTAAAAATCAAGTGAATAAAAAATTTGATGAACAGAATAAACTGGTGAATATAATAGAATCAGAGGCATAGAAAGGGAGTGGACTTAAAATTCTTGGGGGGAAAGAGATGTAGGGGTGCGGGAAGAGACTAGACAAAAATCGTACACCTATGGATGAGGACAATGAGGGAAAGATGGTTTAAGGGCAGAGGGTGGGGTGGGAACCGGGTAAAAGGGAGCTATGGTGGGAAAAAAAGAGGAACTGCAATAATCTGAACAATAAAGATTTATTTTTGAAAAACTAAAAAAAAAAAAAAAAAAAAAGAATAAACAAATCAGCTTGAAGAAGATATCATTAATCAAAGTTGAGAACATCTTAATAAGTGAAGTGATGAATTAATTTATAGAAACAGAATGAGTCCAAATGAATACTATAATAAGTGTGTATTGGGAGACAGGAAATATCTCTTTTAGAGAAAAAGTCAAGTAATAAACATACAAAGTATGATAGAAATAGAAAGCCACCATTTTATAATGACTATAATAACTGATTCAGGTAAGAATCTATGAATACTAAAATTACTGAAACAATATCACCTTCAAGATTGCTTATTAATTATAAAAGGAAAAAGGTATTTTTAACCAGGGAAATCTGGAAAACACTGCCATAACCTACTGAGCATACTTATCACCATCAATGACGAAGCACAAGTTCCCATCATTGCCCTCTGAGAAGAACAAAACATCATCCACTAGCACGCCTGATAAAAATGATTTAACCTCAATTTAACTATGAGGAAACAATTAGACAAATTCAAATTAAGGGACAAAACACGGGCCTGGATTCTTTGGAAAAATAAATTAAAAAGTTAATGCCGTGAGAAGTATTCTAAATTAAAGATTAAAGGGACATGACTACCTCAGAAAAACAGAATTCAAAATTGCAATAAGATACCATTCAAACTCACTAGAATGACTATAACAAAAAGATTCACATAACCAAATGTAGGTGAGAATATGGAACAATTAAAACTCTCATATTGTTAGTAGAAATGCAAAATAGTGCTAATAGTGCTATAACTTTGGAAAACTGGTTGGAGTTACACGTACAACTAGAAACTTCTGTTTTAGCCAAGGTGGAGTAACAGGAACTGGATTTACCCTCTTGCTTGAAATGACAACACAAAAGCAGACAAAATACTACATAAAATAACAGATTTTCAGATCCTGGACAACAGACAATGAAGCCAGTGATCTCTGAGAGAAGGTAAGTAAATGAGCTGAAGTCTATGGTTGTTCCATCTTACTGCCTCCAAATTTTTCCAGGCAGACCCCTTAAGGTAAACATATGGAGCTGAGTCTTGAGAGACTAAGGCAGTTATAGTCCAGAGAACAAGATACCAGAGGAGAGAGGTGCAGAAAAAGTGAAGCCTGGAGATTGTAGAGGGATCCCCTCAAATATTTAGCAGTGCATTAATCAGAATAGATAGACGAGGAAACTAATAGAGGCAGACAGAAAACACCTGGAAGGATCAGAGGAAATAGTGCCCAGCATTCCCTAGGGCACCAACAGTGTGTGCTCTCATTAAAAAGACTAGAATAATTCAGTCATACTCATGGGCTAGAAATGAAACCTCACAGACGTGGTCAATTAATTTATGACAGAATAGCCAAGATTATACAATGGGGAAAGGAAAGTCTCTTCAATACATGGTGTTGGGAAAACTGGACAGCCACATGCAAAGACCAATGAACACAAAATCAACTTAAAATAATTGAAACCTTACTTAAGACCTAAAACCATAAAACTCCTAGAAGAAAATATTGGGGATACCTCTTTGACATTGGTCTCAGCAAAGATTTTTTTGGATTTGACATCAAAAGCAAAGGCAACAAAAGCAAAAATAAACACATGGGACTATAACTAAAAATCTGCACAGCAAAGGAAACCATCAACTAAATGCAAAAGCGACCAATGGAAGGGGAGAAAATATTTGCAAACAAGTATCAGATTAAGAGGTCTAAAATA